ATGTCACTGACTCTGGGCCCAGGATTCCCCAGGTCTTGCCACACTGCTGGCCAACCAGGTCTCCACCTGGGTTCACAGGAGTCTATTGAACGTTGTAGGCCTTAGCTTGCAGCTTCATTGCTGTTTTTCCCTCACTTTCCCTTATTGGTGATGACTAATGTTGTTTTAAATAGTTTTTCTTTTCCTTGTAAAATCTGAAATTTCTTAAAAAAAAGAAAAGTAACTGTAGCTAAACCTCATTCATGCTATCATATAAATTTCTGAGAAATCTTATGCTTTATTGAGTTGAGTTGCATGGCCCTGGCTTCAAACACTACAAGTATTCAATTACAAGAGAAGAGACTTTCCACAACAGGACTCGTGAAGTGAGCTGGATCCGGGAGGGAAGTCAGCCCTAATCAACCATCATCACGCTCAGAGGCAGCGCCATGGGAGGACAGAGTGACAGTGGGTTTCAATTTAGTGGATCCCTGTGGATTACCTTAAGTTCTCTGGATAGTTGGTGCTAAGGTTTCTGAGGAACATCTGGTGGGTTTGAACTGCTGACCTTGTGGTTTGCAGTCCAGTGCTGATTGTACAGTGTCACACTAGGAGTCCAGTTTCTGGATAGTAGAGTTATTTTAAAATGTTTTTGTGGTAACTATAACACAGTTTCTTTCTACAAGCCCTCATACATATTTGGCAATCATGGTAGTTTCTTCCTCAGACCTAAAAATTGTTGGCTGTAAGGGAAAATATGGCCAAATTTTTTATAAAATAGTTATGTACTGCTAGTTCAGAATGTGTAACTTGGAGTAAATATGCTATCAGAATAAAGTGTTTGAAAGCCTTTCTTCGTGTATTTTTCTTCTGCTGTACTGTTATTTCAGAAATGTGTAAAATAACTTTGGACTCATTTGTCCTGCAGACAAAAAGAAGATTTTAAATACACATGCTGTCAAAGATAAGGAATATGACAACGGCAAAGAAATCTGGGGACTCTTTTTAAGATCACTTATTTAATAACACAATTCAAATATGTTTGAAAGACCAACATGTACTAAGTGCTCTTTTTCACATTTACCAAAATCAAGTGATTCATTTTCAGTATGGAAAGAAGACTCAAAATTCAAACCCAGCCACTACCAAGTTAGTTTCTTAGGTACCAGTGTGTTGTTTCTAGGGTTTCAAACTGAGGTCATGGTGGATCTATAGCTATGCCTCTTAGACCCAACCTAACCATAATATCTAATTTCCAGGCTACTTGATTAGTTTAGGGAGCTCTGGTGGTGCTGTGTGTTAGGCATTGGGCTGCTAACCGCAAGATTAGTGGTTCAAACCCACCAGTCACTCTGTGAGAGAAAGACGAGGCTGTCCACTCCCATAAAAATTTAGTCTTCGGAACCTCTAAAGGGTTGCTGTGAGTTAGAATCGACTTGATGGCAGTGGGTCTGGTTTCATTAGTTTAGTTATGGACCTGGAACCAGAGCGGGACCACAGGCTTCCCTAAGACTTCTGCTAGAGTTGTCGGGAGGTTGTGTTTCTTTTGAGGTTCGTGCACTGGTAGCTTGTATGTTTGGGCCTGCAGACCGCTGTCTCCCCCAAGAGACAGATGGAGTCATTAGGTATCGGGATCCAGTATGCTGTCCTGTAGGTAAATTATAGAGTGGTCGTTCTTGACTGCACAAAAGCAAAACCAAAGGCACGGAACACACACGTTTACTAAGAAAATAGAAAAGGTTTATTCCCAGAGTTAGACGCTAAAATATGTTAAGTTGTAAATTGCAAAGGGAGAAAAGGGATGTATGACAAGCTCTAAACAGTGAATTGCTGAGAGCAAAAGGATGTATCACAAGCTGATCATAACAAGGGCAACCGCATCATCCAGAGAACACTGAGGGACCTGCAGACAGAGACTTGGTCGGAACACCAACCCTGGGCAGTGTGTCCACTCCACTGGCAGAGTCCCAAATCCTGGCCTAAGGACCCCTGTTCTTTTTTTTTTTTTAATGTTTTATTGTGAATTATGTGATAATTTACATGGGAGAACATTAGTTTTAAATTCATCTTATAGTATATCATTTCATTACCATGGTTACAATCCTCTCCATGCATCATCAACCAACCACAGGTTGTTCCCCCGCCTCCCCCTCCCCCTCCCCAGGTCATCAGCACACAGCCTTCTCCCTCTCTGGGTCTAAAGTCCCCAGCTGCTCCATCTCTCCACATCATCGTCTCTGCCTCCATCTCAGGGTTCACTGCTTCTCTGGGAGGACCCCTGTTCTTTATCCTTCAGCAAAGATTGCAGATTCATTTCCTTTGGCGAGATGCCAGGGGATGGCCAGCCTGTCTTCCATGGCTCCACAGCTATTTTCTTGCTTCATTTCACTCAAGTTCTGTCTGCAGTTACACACTGACTGTCCCAGGTGTTGAAGGAACATAATTCTGGTGATAACATCAGTATTGTTCCCAGGTTGCTTTCTTCAGTTCTATCTGCCATTGCTGCTTCTGTCCTGAAGCCCAAGAGAGAGAACAGGGGCTCCACATGCCTAGAGCCATCTGTGCTCTGACCTCCCTGCTCGGTGGACCGATCCATGGCTGGTTTTCGTTTTAATACTAGACTGAAATGGGTTTTTGTCATTTGCAAATGAAAGAATCTTATTAAAAGGAATAAAATGTTTTACCAGTGATCTGGTCAATTTTATATAATAAAAAAAAAAGCATCTCAACAAATGCTTCCCTGACTAGAGGGGGAATTCATTTGCTTTTAAAAAGTGAAAGGCAATGGGACAAAGCCAAGCAGGAGATGGAATTTGAGTTCAGAGAAAAACAGAATTGAAAGACAATGTGGAGATTAAGAAATTATTGTTTAAAAAAAGTAAAGAAAAATAAGGCCAGAAAGATATGTTAGTCTATACTTCTCAAAGTTTGTTGTTAAGCGCCATTGAGTCAGTTCTGACTCATAGCAAGCCTGTATAGGGTTTCCAAGGAGCAGCTGGTGGGTTTGAACTGCCGACCAGTTCGTAGCCCAGTGCTGATCCTACAGCACCACACCTGAAGTCCCTTAAACTGTCAAACTTTAGGTCCCTTAAAAATTCCTATCATACACCGCACTCAGATTCACGGTTTATACAACTAGGAGTGAACTAAGAAGGAAAGCACGGAGAACTGAGTACTGTTCCTTTCCGTGCTATTGTTAGGCGCCATTGAGTTGGTTGACTCATCGCAACCCCATGCACAGCAGAAGGAAACACTGACTCTGTGCCTGCCTCACAATCATGGTCATGTGAGAGCCCATTGCTGCAGCTGCTGGGGGTCTGCCTTTTTTTGTGTGGATCCTCTATTTACCAGGCATAATGTCCTTCTCCAGGGGCTGGTCCCTCCTGATAAGATGACCAAATTATGTAAGATGAAGTCTGGCCATCCTCGCTTCTAAGTATTTTGGCTGTATTTCTTTCTTTCTTTTTTTTTTAAACTTTTATTGTGAATTGAGTAATAGTTTACCTGGTAGAACATCGGGCTATACTTCTTTCACGATGGATTTGTTTGTTCTTCTGACAGTCCATGGAATAGTCAATATTCATCAACACCATAATCAAAAGGCATCAGTTCTTCTTTATTCATTGTCCTGCTTTTATGTGCATGAGGCTATTGAAATTATCCTGGTGTAGGTCAGGTGCAATTTCGTCCTTAAAGTGACATCTTTGCTTTTTAACATTTTTAAGAGGTCTTTTGTAGCAGATCCTTCTCTTAGTCATTATTATTTCCCAGAAGATAAAATGCCATACTAGTAGTTTAAAAAAATAAATGAATAGAATGACACCAAGAAAAATTTGCACATCTATTTTATTTCCATTAGAAAAATATTATCTATATAAAGTTTTGGTCCACTTTCATCTTCTTTGCCTCTGCCATTCAACTTAAATACTTTAATCTTATTCAAGTGAAAGCAGAATCATGTGTGAGAACTAAACATATTTTACACTATTAAATTAGTAGGATTTAATTAGGTCAGGTGTGTGTTATTATTTCTCAAGTAGAGTAAACTATAGTTCTGCACGCTGTTTCCTTTCACTTTTACTTATTTGAGTAACTGTGTAATGAGCAAACCTTCTTCTACATTCAGTGATGTGAGTGTGCACACATGTAATCTTTAACATTAGCACCTGGATTCATCATCTAATTTTCAATTCCCCATTATAGGTAATTTCCACAATGATCTTCAGATATTTTAGTTAAACTTCCACTTTGAACATTAATTATAAAAATTAAGTGTTAATTTAAAAATAGTATAAAAATTCCAGACAAATCAACATTGGGCCCATTTATAACTTCCACTTTGAACATTAATTACAAAAATTAAGTGTTCATTTAAAAATAGTATGAAAATTCCAGACAAATCAACATTGGGCCCATTTATAGTCATGCTGAGGAGAATGGTCCTTGGACAGCTATTGCTTCTATCTCAACACGGCCCCCCTGTAAGGACAATAATAAAACAATGTGTAGGTCATTTTTACAAATTAAAAGAGCTCCATAATACCTATCAAACACATACAACAAAGAGCATTATTATTATTACTCTTTTCAAAGAAGAAAGGAGGAGAAAATGCTCAGTAAGAACCTATCAGGGCCCAGGTACTATGATAGACACCAATCTCACCTGTGTCCACCACTCATGTAATTCTCAAAGCAGTCCTCTAAGACAAGAGTCTCCCCTACCCTTTTCCCATCCACTTAATGATACACTATAGCTTAAAAAGCAAAGAACCAAACCCATTGTCACCATGTGAATTCCTACTTATAGTGATCTGATAGGACAGAGTAGAACTGTCCCACAGGGGTCTATTTCAACCTTTCTGTGAGCAGCTGAGCTACCAGGACTTGTAATCATTGAAGGTTAGAAAGAGTAATGAACTCATCCCAGATAATAAAGCTAAGCGAAAGAGAGTCAAACCAATGTCTTTTGATGCCAAGCCCAGAGCTCTTTCTACTCCAACCAGTCTCCTATTAAGCTTGATGCTATTGATCATGCCAAATAAAAATCAATTGGAGGAATAAAAACTCCTGCTCTTAGATGATGAGCTTTCTTCAATGGAAAACTGCAAATGGAAGCCAGCAAGAGCTACTTCTTTGTAGGTGGGGATATTGTGGTGCTTAGAGGCACAGAAAAAGAGTGCCCAGTTAGATTAAAACATCAAATACAAATAACTGGTGAGAAATATGTATGTGGCTGGTTTAGAGATTATTTTTCTAATGGAAGGGCTGGATTTCTTATAATAACAACAGCACATAGTTCTTATATTACAATAATACAGTAGCATAATAATAATAGTATAATACAATAATATAATAGTATATAGTATTTAAGATACAACAGTAATTTTTTTTGCTGTAGACTTCATAGTTGTCATTCTTCTATTTCCATGTGTGTGTTGCCTTATAAAGTATCTGAATTCTTCTCCCTATGCATTAGCATTGGGTGTTTTATTTCAGACTTTCAGCTCCTAGAAAGCAGGCAAAATTTCTTTTTAAAAATATCCCTCCTTTAGTCTTTCTAAAATGTACTTACTCTGGGCAAAGCAGCAACTTGGTAAGCAGCTCTTGCAGGAAAACTACTCTTGAAATCTGAATTAAAAAAGAAATTTAGTTTTCATAAATCGTAAGTGCTATCCACACTGCATAGTTAAGAATCTGGGAAGTTCTTCACTAGCTAAAAGCAACATAAAAAAAGAAGTTCATATTCCAGATCTGTCTGATAAAATACTTTGCCATATGATTCTTATGATATTTAACATGTTTCTAAATGACTTAGTTTTCTGGAAAACAAATGAAAATATTAACATACTCCGACACTTTGATTTGGTTTGATGTGAGGAAAAATTACTCAGGAGAGTTTGAAATGCCCGAGAAGGGTGTAACAAAGTTAAGTTTCAGAAAAATGGGTTTTGTATATTATTCTAGGGAATGCAACATAAATGTCGTAGATCTTTTTCACAGAGACATGCTGTGTGCACCACAGACAATCAGCTCTGTTAGGACACTTCTTTTACGGCAGTTTCTTCAGCATCTTCTAACACTGTTCATTCATAGCAAGAACTCATGCATATTAACAGATTAATTGTTTTTTAAACTGAAAAATAGATACAATGTCAAATTACTTACACTGTGCGTAGACTTCATTGACAGCAGCGAAATCATTTATGTCAGCCAGCAACACAGTTGTCTTTACCACTGGAAGATAAATACAGCTTCATCATTATGTTGAGCTATTTAGTCTGATCCAAAATAGGACTTAGAAAAACAGTAAACGGTCCTGTGACTGCCTTAATCTCAGACTGAAATAAGAAGTGAAGTTGAACTAAAAGCGACATTTTCCAGATTATTAAAACAACACCTTTAAGGAGCAGTAACAATACGGCATAATGCATTGTTCCCAGAGAAATATCCAACGGCAATGTGAAAGAACCTGGAGTAACTCACCATTACTGTAGTCACAGCCTGCGGCTTTCAGAATCTCACCCATGTTTTTAAGAGCCTGAGAACCAAGACAAAAATGGTCATAGGCTCTGATGCAAAAATTCAGTTTTCATTAAATTCAATTAAGCATCTTTTACTGTTGCCCCCTTAACTAGTTTATGCTGTAGAAAAGTTCTGGCAACCCTTTCTGGGCTGCCTCACATACAATGAGTTGCTTGTTGGCTTTCCCTTAGTGTAATGGGTCTTTCTAAAACACAGTGAGATGTGAAGTCTGTCACCTTTTTGAGTAAGAGGATCTGGCAAAAGTCTCTCCCAGTGCTAATTTATGCTCTGTTTTCAGTCAGTGTCCACTAACCTAAAAAATAAATCATTTCTAGGATTCTTCATTCTACTTAATTCAAGGATAAGGATGAGTTAGTAGGCATTTTTAAAATGTTTTCTTTTAAAGCAACGGTAATCAGACTCTTTTTTTTTTTCTAGAGAAACCCAGTATTTGTAAATTGTATGTAGTTTCCTGGTATGGCTATTAGACTTCTAATTCCAAGGTCAGTGGTTCAAACCCATCAGTTGCTCCTCGGAAACCCTAATATACAGGGTTGCGACATCAACACCAACAATGTGTCTTTGACACTATGGCCTTTGGAGAAATGTGGTGTTTTTTTTTTTTAAACTCTCATTAACTTACATGGCAAAGCATTAAAAAGTTACAAAAGCACTTAAAATGAGATGATGTCACCATGCTTCACTACCCCCTCAAGGGTTCCCCTCCTCAGAGGCAACCACTATTCCTGGGCTTCAAAAAGTTCATGGAAAATTCCATTTTTTTAAGTTCCATTTTTTCCATGAACTTTTGGAAACCTCACTGTATATACTTCCAGAGACAGTCAATGTGTCTATATCCTTACACACATAGACACATAAACAGACATACACGGTAGTGTGCTGTGCACGCGGTTCTCTTTACCTTAGAGATCTTCAGTCAGTTCTGTCCTATAGAACTAGTATGATTTACTCACTCAGCTCCTCACAGAGGGACATGTAGGGTTAGGTTGTTTTCTATCTTTGGCTTTTATTGGGCAGAATTGTATTCACCACTGAAACTTTTAAAACATACTGTATATAATCCTTGATATTTTTCTCTAATATATGCTGACTTTTTGTTCTATGGTGATATCTTTTTGGTTTGGTTTTGTTTCTACATGTCAGTGACCCTGAAAATAAAATGTCCCAAACCCATGTGGAAAAGACACAATGTTATCTGATTTGGACAATTCAGGTTTAAGGGCACCTTAGTCATAAAGAGGAAGAAGCACTGTTCTGTTTGCTAAATGATTCATCAAATTTTCAATTCTCAACTAACAGAAAACTATCCTAAATCAAGTAGTAAAGAACTAAAAAAACATGTATCTGGTAATCTCTAGAAAATAAACCAGTCAACTGAATTCTCATAGTGGCAGTGGTGGGCTGTGGAGTCAATCTGGACTTATAAGCGACCCTTGTAGGGTTTCCCAGACTGTGAATCTTGGTTGGTGGTGTTGTTATGTGCCATTAAGTCCATTCAGACTCATAGCGACCCTGTATAGGGTTTCTAAGGGCAGTTGATGGGTTTGAACCATAGAACTTGTGATTCACAGTCCAGTGCTTACCCTACGGAGCCATACCTTACAGAAGCAAAAGCATCATCTTTCTCCTGCAGAGTACCTGCTGGACTCGAACTGCTTAGTTCCCCAAATTAAAAAGTTGTAGGAAAGAGAAGTTCAAATGTGGAAAATGACTTACTTGTTTAGCTTCTTCTACCACCCCTCCTGGCACAAGCTGTCCTTTTGAAGGATCCATACCTAGTTGTCCCGAAATGTAGACAGTCCTGTCGACTAGCACAGCTTGACTGCAATGACAGAAATCTAGTGTCAAATAAAAAACAGAACACTCAATGCCGAAAGATTTCTTAGACAGCACACCAAAAGGTTACGAGTAGTTACCAGGGACTGGGGGAACTTGGAGTTATGGCCTAAGGAGTGCTGAGATTCTGTTTGGGGAGATAAAACCTGAAAATACAAAGTGGTGATGACTGCACCCACATGAATATAATTAGTACCACTGAATTAAACACTTAAAAAACGGTTAAAGGTTAAAGCGGCTAATCTTTTATTATGTGTATCTCATCACAATAAAAAATAAAATAAAAACAGTAATCAGACAGTTGACAAACTGGCACTTCCTGAACACATGGGTTGGGTATCGGCAATTCACACCCTCCAGCTGCTGCACAAGAGAAAGATGTGGCAGTCTGCTGCTAAAGACTGCTGATTGTTAAGTGCTGTGGAATCCTTTCCAACTCATAGTGATGCTGTATAGGATTTCTGAGGAGCAGCTGGTGGGTTTGAACCACTGACCTTGTGGTTAGCAGTCCAGTGATTATCCTACATTGTGATGCCAGCCTTGGAAACCCTATGGTCAATTCTGCTCTTTCCTATTGGATTGCTGTGAATTGAAATTGACTTGGTGGTAAGGAGTTTGGGATCTAGTTTGAGCATAAGAATGCTGTTATCCATAGACAAGTTGTTTGGCTCCAGTAAATTGAAAGTGTATTGTTCAACATCATATAAAGGGTTATAACACCAACTTTCAGAGCATCCTAGTAATTATTTATGTCCTAATCTATGTCACATAGTCTGTCACTTCACAAAGTTTTCAATAGATGCTGTGCTAGCATCAATAGTGATGTGATGTTGGAAATCTCTCAAGGTTCTGCCCCCCAGTATTGCTGACATGTGCTGAACTCATTAGTTAATTAGTGACAACACTTCATGCATCTCAGTGCCAGGGGCTGAAAGTTCAACACATTTGGATTCTTTTGGGACAGGGCCCGGAATTTAAAAAGACAAAAAGCAGCACTCATTACAAATTTCATGCACATAGCAACTAATCAGTTGTTTATTTCCAAATGATGCTTAAAAATGTCCAATCAACTTTATCAGAACATAACTAATTTGTTATACATTGGTTTAGTCTTCCTAAGATCCTAAAAATTAGCTGCTTTCAACTGGATAACACTTATTGAGTACAGTTTTTAGTGGGCACTTAACTGTCAGGCACATAACTGATGAGGGAGATGCATGGGCAAGGTGGTGTCAGAAAGTAAGTACCTGGCATAAATACTTCTTATTTTGTTAATATATGCATTATAGGTATGTTATACTCATTTATTTATGTATGCATTCATTCAACAAATATATAATGAACAACAATTCTGTGTAAGGCACTCTGTTAGGATACAGAGGAGAAAAAGACAGGTCCTCTGTTCTCCCTTGCTTACAAAACACAGCCTAAAAAAAAATCTCTATCTCCTCTCGTTTAACAAGCTGAAATAAATGCACACAGGCTAGACAGGCCAGAGTCTCTGCTCACACATATATATTTAGCTAGAGCCTATGAGGTAATCTAGAGTCCTGATGTGGTGATCCAGGCTAATGCACTAGACTGCAAGGTCGGCAGTTCAAGCTCACTGGCTCCTCCTCAGAAACCCTATACAAGGGTTCTGAAACTAAACAAACTCAATGGCATTTAACAACGGAATCAGACAATTTTAGAAAATGATCTTCATTATAATTTATAGTTGATTGCATTAGTGGGAAATGAGCACAGACAACAAAATTCATAAGTATCCAGATGCAATTCTAAATGTGCTGTATACAGTGAATACTGAAACAAAAGAGAGGAGCCCTGGTTGTGTAATAGTTACACAATCCAGAGGTTGTTGGTAGGAACTCACAGCAGGAGAAAAGATCAGTCTAGAAAACCCTAAAGGGGAGTTCTACTCTGTCATAGCGGGTAGCTATGAGTTGGAACAGACTCAAGGTCACACAACAAGACTTAGACTGTGCAGGGATTTGTATTTGCTAAACAATGCTATGAAAATAACTCGGCTTTCTTCAGAAGAAACACCCACATTTATCATTGGTAGGATTCACTCCTTAAAATGCAAACGGAGTTAGATAAAACGTTAAGCTATGTGAAAGAAGCCATTCCTAAAATATCTGGAACAGACAAACCCATAGAAACAGAAAGTAGGAAAGTAGTTGCCAGACGCTGGGGAAGAAAAGAAATTAGAAGTGACTGCTAATGAGTAGAGAACTTCTTTTGGGGGTTATTACAATGATCTCTTATTAGATAGAGGTGACAGTTGCACAGTTTTGTGAAATTGTACACTTTGTGAGTTATACATTTCAAACAAGTGACATGTAAGGTTTGTGGATTATATTTCAATAAAGCTGTTAAAAAAAAAAAAAAAAGCAAAAGAAACCAATCAGGGTTAGACCACTTCCGGAGGGAGAGCTCTGGCTGCAAGCAGGCTGAGCTTCGGAGCGAACCAGCCCAAGGCTGGGGCAAAGTCCCCGGGGGAGCAGCAGCCGGCGCAGGCTCTGGGACTCAAGGCCCTATAGGGGTCCAGTTCCGACTTACTATGGGTCTCCGACTGCTGTGGGTCTCCCAACTGGCTGTGCCTTACAAGCTCTTTGCTTGCATGTTCGATGGAGTAGGTCCTGGTAAACCCGGAGTGGCCCCAGCCCAGAGTCCCTACCCAGGACGCCCCGGGTCCGCCCGCGCCCCCACATGCCACGTTACCTGTAGGGACCAATGGCCCCTGGGGCTTTTGCAGTGCTGATCACCTTTCTGATGAAGGACGACATGGCTAATCTTTTTGGCCAGCTGTCAGTGGAAAGTGCAAAACACTCACTATACCAGCCTCACTTCTCAACGAACTGATCAGCCCCGGGGTTGGGTCTTCCACCTAAGGCGTTGCTGCGGGCGGTGTCGCTCCGAATTCTGGGAATTGTAGTCCCGGCGCAACTCCAGGCCACGTGGAGGAAGCCGCCGTATAAACGCATGCGTCCGCTGGCCCGCTCGCGGAGCTCGTAGCTGCAAAGGACTTTGCTGCCGGCCCTTGTCATTCTGACGGTGAATATCTGGGCTCTTTCCCCAGAGCGTCTGGCAGGTAGGTGGTGAAGGCTGTCAGGGCCCGGGGAGTTGGGGCAAAGTATGCTCTAACACCCAACCTAGCTCGCCATCCTCTCTCTCTCAGATCTCGCTGGCCTTCTCTTCTCGTTCCTTGTGCCCGGGTCTCTCTTACCAGCCCCACCCCTCTGTCGGGCCCTGCTCCTCGTACCCCAGTGCTTGCCAATTCTCCACACTATCGGATCGAACGGAGGCTTACACCCTTCCTCCTGCCACCTAAAGGAACAAAGTGGGCCATCCAGGGGACCACGCCTGTCCTTCACGTGCCCCCTTTTCCTCTCCAGAGAGCTCCTTCGACCTGAACAGAGCTTTAGCGACTGGTAGCTAATTTCAAAAAGAAAGATATTGATCCTGGTCCAATGAGTGGTCCCGGAGCTCATCACTGGGCAGACGTTCAGTTCATACGTTGGAAGAAAAGCCTGGTGATGCACTTCTGAAAAATCAGCCATTGAAAACCCTCTGGAGCACAGTTCTAGTGTGGTAGTCATGGGTCGCCCTGAGTCAGAGCCAGCTGCTTGGCAGCTGTTTTGGTTAATGTTTGGGCGACACTGCAGGCAGTTACTGGTAGTTATTGGGCAGGGCCAACAATACTGACCACCTTCACTGTGCAGAAACGCCCTGTAGTGAGTAGCCCACCACCTAATTCTGTTTGACATTGGAAGTTTACCAGGAATGCAGTAAATCAGGGGGAAGTGGCCCTTTTTTTTACAATTTAAATTTGTTACTTTGGAAAATAACCACTGTCAACTTTTCTTTGGGGCACCAGCACCTTTGTAGCTGTTGTGTTCATGGTAATTCTGTGTGTACATTCAAGTAAGATTAGTAGTATTTAAATGCTGAAATATTTTGAGAAGAGCTTGATAAATAGCTGCAATTTGAAGTCTTATCCTCTTGTGTCGCATTCTTGCAGGATCCTTTAGACTCCCTACAGTCAGCAGTGAAAGAGTTAATGATTATCACATCCAGACCCTTCACCAGCTTTGTGGTGCCTGGGTTAAAAATACCTCTGTTATTTGTAATGTCATCTAATATAGCCCTGGTGTGGCACTATATGGCTATAGGATAATCACTGGACTGCTAACTGCAAGATCAGTAGCTCAAACCCACCAGCTGCTTTCAGACACCCCATACAGAGTCGCTTTGAGTTGGAACTGACTCCATGGCGCACAACAGCAACAATACAAACAATAAATAGTTATGAAATATTTACATAGCAGAAATATACTATTTTATTTGAATTACATTTTAGTTCTCATTTACATTATAGTTAGGGCAGGTAATGGAGGCTTATAGTGATACTAGTTTTGTATACAATGTTGTTAAGCGCTGTTGACTCAGCTTCTGACTCAGCAACCCTGCCTGTATAGAGTTTCCGAGGAACGACTGGTGGGTTTGAACTGCCCAACTAGTGGGTAACAGCTTACTCTACAGCACCATACCAGGAATCCTTGTATACAATGTTATAGTCATTAATGAGTTTCATTTCAAAATAAAAAGTAGGTATTTAAAATTGCTCATTATGGGGTGTTACTTGTGATAGAGTTGAGAACTGTTGAGTTACTCAAGTGTTACTAGTTGTTGGCTTTCTATTTTAACTTCAAAGGAGCCCTGGTAATGCTAACCAGATCCCACCTGCTGCTGCTACATAGAAGAAAGATGTGTTCTGCTCCCTGGGAAACCCTGGGCGGCAGTTTTGGTCTGTTCTATAGCGTTGCAGTCTACTTTTCAGTAGTGGGTTTGGGTTTTCTTACTGTAAATGGAAACCACCATCATTTGCTGTTATAAATGGAAGATGGAATCACTGGCCTCATACCAGTAGTATCAGTGAAAAACACATCGTTAATCTGTATTCAATTTTTGTTGAGGTTGTCATGTTCTATACTTCAGTGATTCAAGCGGCTCTTAACTTCACTTCAGAACCAAGTTAAAATGTTTAGCTAATATAGTTTTTTTTAATTCCACAGCATGGTGATTTTCTCTCACACCGCATTTTTCATTCTTCCAAACAGACTGGAGCGTCAGTCATTTATGTGTGATTTCATTATTGGGCAGTGCTAACTGGAATGCACTAATGTGGTCTCTTCCATCTATAGACTTGTTACTTTCCTCCTGAATCTGTTTCTGCTGTCACTCTCATTCCTGGAACTCCTAGATTGCTCCCTGGTTTTGAATTCCTGCCATAGATCAATACCTTGAGAACATTATCCTCAGTCCACTTACAATAATTTTTATATTTGAGTGAAAATTTCTTCTTCCTGTATTAAATTTTGTTACTTTCTTTCCAGATATGTCGAATGCAAAGGAGAGAAAACATGCGAAGAAAATGAGAAACCAACCCACCAATGTGACTTTGTTCTCTGGCTTTGCAGCTAATCGAAGTGTAAAGCATTATGGTGGAGGTGGGAAACCTGCCCAGACTCAAAAGCCAGGTACCACACACATGCTCTGCTCTCTCCATTCCCATGTGGAGCAGATTGCTTTTGCCAGCTTCTTTAGATGGCCATGACCTAAAGAATTTAATTTAAAAAACTCAGTTGCCGTTGAGTCACTTCTGAATCGGAGTGGCTCTAGAGAAGTGCCCCACAGAGCCCTGGTGTCACAGTGGTGAAGGGCCACCAGGTGTCCCACGGGAGAAAGATGCGGCAGTCTGCTTCTGTAAAGAGTCACAGCTTTGGAAACCCTGTGGGGCCCTTCTCTGTCCTGTAGGGTCATCATAGAGTCCGAATTGACTCGATGGCAATAGGTTTCCAAGGCTGTCATCTTTATGACGAAGTCCTGGTGAGGTGCTGTAAGAGAAAGACAGGACTGCTTATTGAAAGGTTGCTGGTTCAAACCCACCAGCGGTTCCTTGGAAACCCTATACAGGGTCGCTGTGAGTTGAAACTGACTCGATGACACTTAACACCAGCAGCAGTCTTTATGGAAGCCAACTTTCTCTAGTGGAGCATCTGGTGGGTTTGAACTGCCAATCTCCTGGTTAGCAGCTAACTGCCTTACCCATTGTTAACCATATCTAAAGAGTTGTTGTTTAGTGCTGTACAGTCAGTTCTTACTCATAGCAAACCTGTATAGGATTTACAAGGGGCGACTGGTGAGCTTGAACGGCCGACCTTGTGGTTTAAACTGACCTTCCAGCCCAGCCCATTAATCTGCAGCACCACACCAGGATTCCATCTAAAGAGTGGTGGTGGTGTGCTGTGGCGTCGGTTCTGACTCATAGTGTCTCTGTATAGGGTTTCCAAGCCTGTCAATCTTTACAGGAGCAGAAAGCCTCATCTTTCTCCCGCAGAACGGTTAGTAGTTTTTGAACTGCTGACCAGGAGGTTAGCAGCCTGACTCCTAACCACTGTGCTACCAGATCTCTTTCCATCTGAAGAGTAAATGGGCTGAAATAAAAACAGATACAGTTTATAACTGAGTTCTTTTATTTCTACCTTAACATCAGTAATTATTGAAGTTCTGTATTTTCTAATATAGAGTCCTGGTGTGGCGCTGTGGCTTAAGGCGCTGGACTGCAAAGTCAGTTTGAACCGCAAGATCGGCGGTTCAAGCTCACCAGCCGCTCCTCAGGAACCCTAAACAGCATCACTATGGGTCAGAACGAACTCGATGGCACTTATGAACAACAGCAACATATTTTCTAAAGGATAATACTCTTTTCTTTTCTTCCACAGATAGAGATTTGATGCTATTGTAAGATCAGAGTGCTTTGAATGAACAGACATTTGTATAGAGAATTTGCTTTTATTTCTTTAGTCTAGTTCTCAATTTCAGTGTGCATGAGAATTATGATAAAAGACTGACTATAAAAAATTATGATAAAAGACTGTGCTGCTATACAAAAAGGAGCTTTGGTAGCGTAGTGGTTACGAATCAGGCTGCTATCCTCAAGGTCAGCAGTTTGAAACTACCAGCTGTTTTGCGGGAAAAAGATGAAGCTTTTGGCTCCTGTTAAGATTTACAGCTTCCGAAACCCTGTATAGGAAGGATCGCTATGAGTTGGAACCGACTCCATAGCACATCACCACCACCATCATACAAAATTTGTTGATTATAATATCTAAAGGTAGGATAAGCACTCAACTTCCAACCATATGGTTGGCAGTTCAAACCCACCAACCGCTTCTTGGAAAACCTATACAGAATTGCTTTGAGTCGGAACTAACTTGACAGCACTTAACAATAACAACAAGAGGGAGAATGTTTTCTTGTATCGGTTGTATCTTAGGTTCTTTCATATGTCATACCGATGTGGTTATATAGCACACTACCTACTAGTTATGTGATGTTGGACAAGTTTGTTCACCTCCCTAGCTGAGATTCTTCCTTTTAGAAGGGAGATGATAAAAGCCATTTTACAGACTTGTTGTCGGATTAAAACACGTCAGTGTTGCTACTCAGCAGTGTCCGTTCTCTGCTGTACTCCTCTCTGACAAAAGTGACGTACTTCTTTTTGTTTCCTTTTAAAAAATAAACTAGAATCTCGTTCTGGAAGTGCACAGCAGCAAGAAAGCAAAGTGACCCACCATTCCCTGCGTGACCCGGATGTGAATGAGCAGTCTTCCTCCAAAGTAACATTCAGAAAGAAGGGAGGCTGGAAAGCAGGCCCCGAGGGCACATCTCAGGAGATGCCCAAGTATATCACTGGTAGGTGTTTATAACCGAGTCAACTTTGATCATACCATGAGCATTTTGTTACGAGTGCCGCAGATATGCCAACAAATTGCCCTCTGCAGTGTCTTGGCTCTGCTCCTCCCATTTCTTCTTCAGGGTCCTTTTGGGTCATTTCATGTGAAATCATTTGGTTTTAGCTTCCTTGCATCTGATTATTCTTCCTTCTTCGTTGGCTCTCTTGGCATGTTTTTACACTGTTCCTTCTTGAACTAACTGTTCCTCCTGATAATCAAGTCCAAGTTTTGGCTTTCCCTTTTTTTTCTTCAGCATGGCAGGCATTCTTCAAATATGAAACCAAGCTTAATACACTAACCAAAAACCAAACCCATTGTCACTGAGTGGATTCCAACTTATAATGACCGTGCGGGACTGAGTAGAACCGCTCCATAGAGTTCTGAGAGCTGAGATCATAAATCTTCTTGGGAGTAGACAGCCTCATCTTGAACCACCAGCTTTGTAGTTAGTGGCCCAGCACTTAGCCCACTGGGCCACTTGGGCTCCTGTAACACACCTTTAAATACTTGACTTCAGGCCCTTTCTTGGCTCATTGCCCTGTCCCCCTTGTCCCCATACCCAGTAAACCCTATACTTTGCCCTACCTTAGATGTGCCCTCTTTTTCCCTTTCTTGGAGGAATTCACTTAAATTCCTCCATTAGCTAGTCAGCCAGTAGAAAGAAAGAAAGAAAAAAATCTACTTTTTCAATCAAGAAAACCAATAATAAGAATAACCACATATTTGGAAAAAGCAGCCAACATTAAGGGGGTGGGGTGTGGGAAACCTACCTGGAATCAAAACCATGGTTGAAATCTTGTCTTTTTGTGTTCCTGTGTGAATGTCATGCTTAAAAATGGCTGCGAGTGGGCTGCGAATATTGCATGCACTGTACTGCACAGAGTCCCTAGTTTTACATAATGTCGTAAACTTGATCTTAACCTTATTTCCTGAAACAGAAAAATAAAGTGAATTCTTGTAGAAAACTTGAAAAGTGTGAAGGTTGAGTACAATCAATAGGGGGCTAGTTGTAGTTGTTGTTGCTAAGGGCCGTGGAGTCAGTTCTGACTCATAGCGACCCTGCATAGGGTTTCCGAGGCTGTAAATCTTTACGGGAGCAGAACGCCTCATCTTTCTCCCACGGAACCGCTAGAGTGGGTGGTAAATTGCAAGCTCTCTTACCTCCTGACGTCTCTGTGAGATCCTGCGGAAGCAGCGCTGACTCAGACTGGCTGTTGCTAATGACAGTACTGTTTTCCCTGCCAGCTTCTACATTTGCTCAGGCACGAGCTGCTGAGATCAGTGCGATGTTAAGAGCGGTGACCCAGAAGTCTTCCAATTCCATGGTTTTCCAGACTCTGCCACGGCACATGAGGCGAAGAGCCATGAGCCACAACGTCAAACGCCTTCCTCAGCGCTTACGGGAGATAGCTCAGAAAGAGGTATTGTTGTTAGGTGCATTGTAGTTGCTTCCAATCCACAGTGACTCTGTGTAGGGTTTCCAAGGCTGTAAATTGTAATGGGAGCAGAAAGCCTCATTTTTCTCCCTCAGGGCAACTGGTGAATTTGAACTGCTGACCTTGTGGTTAGCTGACCAGTTCTTATCCTATAGTGCCACCAGAGCTCCATAGAAAGAGGTATGTTGTTAAGTGCCATCAAGTTGGTTCTGACTCATAGGGATCCTGCATAGTGTTTCTGAGGAGTGGCTGGTGGGTTTGAACTGCCAACCTTGTGGTTAGCAGTAGGGTGCTTATTCTGCAGTGCCACACTAGGACTCCAGAAAGAGGTATAGGTTTCATTTCATGTAAATTTTTAGATTCGTAGTTCCTAAAAGAAATTGAGACATATTGACCTAACAGAATTTGTTAAAATGAAAATAAACAAAAACCAAAGGTTTCTCATTTAAGAGATATTTTTGGTGTAACCCTTTATTTTCTCCCTTCCTCCCCCCCACACTCCCAGCTTGTCAAATTAGCGAACAGTTGGATATTACATCTGTTTTTATATATGGCGTTAAGGAAAGCACCTCTTTTTTTTTTTTTACTATTAATTTTGTTATTGTTGAGAGTATATACAGCAAAACATGAACCAATACGTTGGTGCAAATTAGTGACATTGATTGTATTCTTTGAGTTCCACAATCCTCCTCACCTTCCTTCTTGGTTGTTCCTGTCATTAACATAAACCCACCTCCCTCAGGGGCCTTTTGAATTGCTGCTTCCACATGATCCCATGGAGATAGTTCTTGAAAGAGCACCATGCTGGAGGCAGACCTTACTTTACCAGTTGAGCTAAATTATTGTTCAGTTTTAAGAAGACACCAGGGTATCTTTTTAGCTTAAGATTGAAAGATTATGTCAAGGCAATAGTTTCAAGGATTCATCCAGCCTCTGTGACTCCAGAAAGTCTAGATTCCACGAGAAATCTGTTTTCTCCTTTTTGATAAAGACTCTTCCATAGAGTGTTTAATCAGAACGTGAGCCCCTCTCTTCTAATGGGGTTAGATAGTTGATGTTCGCCTACCAGATTTAGAATAAAATGATGACTCCCCCCTTTACCAGTCAAACGGTCTGAGCTCTGCGGTTTGGGGTTTTATTGGAAGTTTGTTATTGGAAGGTAGAGATCAGATCAGTGTCTAGTAGTGAAAGCTTGTTGACGGTGCTGTTAAGTGCCGGCAAGTTGGGTCCAAGGAGTGAATGATGAGCTTGAACCTCCGACCTTGCAGTTCAAACTGACTTTGTAGACTAGCACATTACAGCATCACACCAGGACTTGAATGGTAAAAGCTAAAATTTGTGATTTCATTTTTGTATAAGTTTCAATAACCTCATATACATGCGAAAGCTGGACAGCGATAATGAAGACTGTAGAAGAATTGATACCTTTGAGTTATGGTGTTGGAGAATACTGAAAGTGCCATGGGCTGCCAAAAGAACCAACAGATGTGTTGGAAGAAGTGTGGCTAGAGTGTTCCTTGGAGGCCAGAATGGCCAAACTTTATCTCTCATTTTTCAGACATATTGTCAGGAGGGACCCGACACTGGAGAAGGATATCCTGTTTGGTAAGGTGGAGGGTCACAGAAAAAGAGGGAGACCCCCAGCGAGATGGATTGGCAAAGTGGCAGCATCAGTGGGCTCAAGCATGGCAACAATTGTGAGGTTGGCCCAGGACTGGGCAGTGGTTCATTCTGTTGTCCATAGGGTCGCTGTGAGTCGGTACCAACTAGATGGCACCTAACAACAACAGGAGTTGTTTGAGATTTTACCCAGACTCAGCCTGACTATTCTAAGGCTGTCTAGGCTCCCTGTGGTGGTTATTAATGATGTGTTTATTGTGTGTCTTCTGTGTGCCAGGTAATCTGCTAAGTGGTGGAGATAGTGTTAAAGAGGATTTTGTCCTTACCCTCGAGAGTTCACAAACTACTGGAAAGAATTTTATCCACAAAAGCTTAGCTTAGATAAGGGTGCCAAAAGACTAAAACTGAATCAGGCTTTGTACTTCCTAGATTTAATTTAAGGTTTGTTTGTTAGCACTTGTCTGTTAAAAAATGAAGCATACCACTGGTGTTCTACAAGGTACCCCACTTAGTCTAAAATTCGTTGTTTTGAACTCCAAGCATTTAACTTTGCTTTGAAATGCTGACAAACTAGACTCTGTCCTCTCTCCTTGAAAATACAGGCAGAGAAAACAGTGCATCAGAAAAAAGAACATTCAAAAAATAAATGCCATAAAGCTCGACGATGTCACAAAAACCAGATGCTGGAATTTAACCGTAGACAAAAGAAGAACATGTGGTTAGAAACTCACATCTGGCATGCCAAACGGTTTCACATGGTCAAGAAGTGGGGCTACTGCCTCGGGGAGAGACCAACAGTCAAAAGCCACCGGGCCTGCTATCGAGCCATGACGAACCATTGTCTCCTTCAGGTAGGCTTTTCCAATTTGGTTTTCTTATTTTTGTTTAGACCCTTTCCAATATAAGCTTTTCGAATAGTTCTTGGTGTGACATAGCCCTGTCTGTGAGTTGATACATTTAAAGATTTTTTAATTGAGTACAAGGCACCTTGCTAGATACTCGAGATGAAGCAGTTTGAATTAGTGGAGAGAATGACATTATAATCAAACCACCAGACATATGAAATTATAAAGGAAAAATATGCCTCCTGAGCATTTACAACAGGAACAAGGAAGACTGCTTGCCACTGGTAGTGGTGTTTGCGAGGCAGTGACACGGAGGTGGATGAGTGCAGAGCTGAAGGAAGCTCTGTGGGACCAGGATGAAGAGAGTGAGAGCAAGGACAGGTTTGCAGAGGGTCAGACTGGAGAGAGAGAAGTCAGAACCAGGTTGTGCAAGGTCTTGTCAGCCACGTGTCAGTGTATTCAGCATTGATTCAGTTCATTCGTTATTCATAAACAACAAATGTCTGAGAAGCTGCTTCATGCCCTTAGCAGTGCCCAAAATACTTCCCTGCATGCAGTGGGATGCTGGGAAGGATGCTTTAAACTCTGGAATGAAGAACAATTTGGTTTAGGACCTCTTGTTGGTGTTAGGTGCTGTCGAGCCAATTCTGATTCATAGCGACCCCATGTGACTGAGCTGAACTGCTCTATAGGGTTTCTTGACTGTAATGTTCATGAAAGCAGATTGTCAGGTTTTTCTCTTGAGGAGCTTATGGGTGGGTTCGAACTGCCAACCACTAAGCATTTAACCGTTGCTCCACAGGGCTACTTTTAGAGTCTCTTACCAAACTAAGCAAAACCAAACCCACTGCCATCGAATCTATTCCTACTCTTAGCGACTCTGTATAGGGTTTTTGAGACTTAAATCTTTATAGGCGTAGACAGCCTCATGTTTCCCCTCAGAGTGAATGGCTGGTGGGTTTGAACACCCAGTCTTAACGATTAGCAGCCCGATGTCTAACCCACCGTGACACCAGGGCTCTTAGCAGTATTCCAAGTAGCTCATTAACGTGACTCCTGTTTCTCTCAGTACTTGTTTAGAAATTTGCTCTTTGCAGGAGCGCCTACTTTCACACTCCTCTTGGTCTTGGCTCCAACACTTAGTAACTGTATGATTTTGTTCAAGCAACAACCTCTGTCAAATGAGCTAACAATAGTACCTAGTTCATAAGGCTGTTGGGAAGATTAAGTGACAGCCCATGAAAGGAAGTTAAACTAGTGCCTGGCACTCAGTAACCCTTCTGTGAATGATAACCATTCCTACAATTGTGTAACATGCTGATTTCACTCAGTCTGAACTCTATATTGTGAATTGAGTGAAGGCTTACAGACAAGACCATCAGTTTTATGTTTGAGAAATCATATACTTTGTTTTATCTCAATGACTGCAATCCCCTTCATGCACCAACAGCTATCCCACTTCCTCCCTATTCCACCCACCTTCCCATCCCTTCTCAACTTTGTCCTTAGGTAGTGTTGCTCTTTTGATTTTGAATGAATGACTGTTTCATGGTGTGGTTACAAACCGGGCTGCTAATCTCACGGTCAGCAGTTCGAAACTACCAGCTGTTCCGTGGGAGAAAGATAAGGTTTTCTGCTCCCGTAAAGATTTATAGCCCTGTACAGGGTCGCTATGAGTCAGAACCGACTCCACGGCACATAAGAACATCAACAACATACCTTACTAGTGTTGTTGTCTTCCCTTATACCTATCTGTGTTGTTGCTATTGTGAAGTGCCTTCGAGTCGGTTCCAACTCATAGCGATCCTATACAGGGTTTCCAAGGAGTGACTGGTGAATTTGAACCATTAACCTTGTAATCCAGTGTGTTATCCCACAGTGCCACACCAGGACTCCATGTACATACATACATATACATACATACACCTATCTATGCTTGTCCTGGTGTGGCGCTGTGGCTTAATGCGTTGGACTGCAAAGTCACTTTGAATCACAAAGTCCATAGTTCAAGCTCACCAGCTGCTCCTCAAAAACTCTAGACAGGTCACTATGGGTCGGAACTGACTGGATGTCACTTAACAATAGCAATGCTTGACTGAAAATTAGACCTCAGGGTGAATTCCTTTCCAGACCTGAAGAGTGGTTGAGGGCCATAGTCTCAGGTTTCTCTAGACTCTTTCTGACCAGTAAGTCTAGTCTTTTAAAATAATTTTGAGTTTCATTCCACACTGTCTGCCATTTTTTGGGACCTTGTAATGTGGTCCCTTTCAGAGCACTTGGTGGTGGTAGCAGGGTGCAGTCTAGTTCTTGTGGTCTCAGAGTTTTGGAGACTGATGTTCACATGTCCCATTGGTCCACTGGACTCATTGATCCCCAGCTTCTTCAATTCTCATCACTGTACATTCCATTTTAAATGAAAATTGTGAATAATGTAAACCATTTCATTTAAATTCAGACTGGCTAAAAAATACTCATATTTGCTTATGTGATAAGGGATTGTCAGGTTTCAGATTTTCACTTAGAAACATGGTTTAAGCAATTTCATGTGTGACTTGGATCTCTAGAGGCCTCTGACCTAAGCTAACTCTTCATCCGTCTCCCCTTCTGCAGGATATATCTTACTACTGTTGTTTGGAGTTGAAAGGCAAAGAGGAAGAGATCCTGAAGGCACTTTCTCGAATGTGTAGCATAGAAACAGGTAAACTTTTTACCCACTCACTGTCATCAAGTCGATTCCGAAAACTCATAGTGACCCTACTGCCCCCTGGGGTTTCTGAGAGGAAATCTTTATGGGAGCAGAGAGCCTCATCGCTCTATTGTGAAGCCTCTGGTTGGTTTCATCTGCTGACCTTGCAGTTAGTAGCTTACTGCTTAATCCACTGCACCACCAGGACTTTGTATATTTACTTCATTTCATGAATGAGTGCTATGACCATTTTTGCATTTAAATATACATAAAACTATGTGAGAGAGTGCTTAGTCTCTAGTTTCAGGAGCAGTGGGTTACTTTTAAGTCACTTCTAGCATGTCAAGTGTTTTAAAGCAAGAGACCCATTATTCTACTGACGTGAATTTAGACTGGAAGAAATCCCTAACTTTCATGAAGTCGTTTATTCAGTAGATACTGAGACCTTATTGTTCATCAGGCTTTGGTGAAGGCAGTGATCAAAACCCAAACTTTATCCCTCTGGGAGACACAGTAAATACCAACAGGTGGCTGTTAGGGCTACTGCAGCCTCAGCACTTGGGATCATGGGATTTTGCTTTTGGTGTTGTCAGGATTGACTTTTGCAGCAGTTCACTGTTTATCTGGAAAGCGCCAAGGTAGTTTGATGCTTTACCGGGCAAATCAATACCCCAGGGAAATGCTTGGGCCGGTCACCTTCATCTGGAAGTCTGAGAGGAGCGCTGGAGGCCCCGCTGGGAGCCGGCAGTTGTGGATCTGGCTCCATCCTACTCTTAGAGAGGTACTGTCCTTCAGACTGTCTTCCCGTTATCCTGTTCCTACCTGCTGACAAAAATCGGGCTGCTAATTCGGTACTTGCCTGTGGGGGAAATTGTGTGAATGTGAAATGAAGCAAATCTTGATCTCTTGCTTTGTGTGTAAAAAAAACCCCAAAGAAACCCCAACAACAACACATACACAAAAACCTGTTAGACCTCCAATCTGCCTTAATTGGTCTGTTGGTATCTAGTTGCTTTTTAGAGTCTATATGATAATGGGAAGCTGTTTTGAGTAACTTGGATGATTTTTTAAAAAGACTGCATTTTGCTTAGCTTCCCTTCTTAGGCATAGTCACTGCTTTTTTTTTTTAATTAATTTGGACAGAGTGGTCATGTTATGTTGTTTTCATAATCTCTGACAGGACTGTTCAAATTGCCAAAAGCTACTCAACTTTCATCTACCTTGCCAAAAGTTGTATATGATATGAATGTATAATTTGTGAAGAGATAAAAATGTGAATTTTTACAAGGGGAAGAAAATAACATACCAAAACTAACTTAAATATGTAATGTGTTTACATTTCAACATTTTAAAGTAAATGTTTAAATATGTCCCTAGGAGATCTTAGAGGAAATAAAGGCAGCGTGCCAGTGTATAGAGCCTATCCAATCAACCATCTGTACCCCGAACTCCCTTCTGACACCTCTCCAAGAAAAAAGCCAAACTGGACTACCTGATGAGAAAATTGTCACGAAAAGAAAACGGAAAGACGATGGAGAAAATGCTAAACCAGTAAAAAAAGTTTTTGGGAACAGAACTCGAGATGCACACCAACCCTGTTCTTGGTCATCACCGGCCACTGGCATTGTCGTCAGGTACAGGTTGCATTTGCTCTGAACCTACAGAACATTTTTAGTAAAGACTTGCTCTGTTTTTACCAATAGCACAGACATTGTATATGATGGAAATTGCATTGTAAGACCTTTTCTTTCCTTTAGTGATTTGACGATGGAGATGAACAGATACCGGTTGATTGGTCCACTCTCCCACTCTGTCCTAACTGAGGCGCTAAAAGCTGCTGCTGTCCACACTGTAAGTGTAAATGTGACTGCCGAGTTTTATTCTTGTCATGTAATTCTAGCAAATTTGGAAGGAGCTCTGGTAGTGTAGTGGTTACAAATTGGGCTGTGAACCGCAAGGTCAGCAGTTCGAAACTACCAGCTGTTTTGTGGGAGAAAGATGAGGCTTTCTGCTCCCGTAAAGATTTACAGCCTCTGGTCGCTATGAGTTGGAACCGACTCCACGGCATGTAACAACAACAACATACCAAATACAGGAGCTCTGGTAACATAGTGGTTACAAATCATGCTTCTGGTCTCATGGTCAGCAGTTTGAAATTACCGGCTGTTCTGTGGGAGAAAGATGAGGCTTTCTGTTCCCATAAAGATTTATAGCCTCGGGAACCCTTTACAGGGTCGCTATGAGTCAGAACCGACTCCATGGCACATAACAACAGTACCAAATAGGGGTGTGGCACTCTAGGATAAAGCACTAGACCCCCAACGTTGGTTTGAACCACAAGGTTGACGATTCAAACTTACCAGCCACTCCTTAGAAACCCTATACAGGGTTGCTAGGAGCTGGAACCGGCTTCAAGGCACTTACCAACAACATACCAAGTCGAGGGGTTGCTGGGTCATACAGTATTACTGTTTCCAACTTTTTAAGGAAGTGTCATACCATTTTCCACAGTGATTACACCATTTTACTGTCCCACCAGCAATTTCTTGGTGTGGTGCTAGTTAATTTACTGGACTGAAAGCTCGGTTTGAACTGCAAGGTTGGCGGTTCAGGCTCATCAGCCACTCCTCAGAAACTCTATACAGGGTTTCTATGAATTGCTATGGTTCGGAACTAATTCGATGGCACTTAACAACAACGACCAGCAATGTAGGTGTGTCCTAGTCTCTCCACACCCTGGTCAGCATTGTTCCTGAACTTTGCTGTTCATGCTGGTGTGAGATGTCTCATTGTTGTTTTGATTTGCAACTCTCTAGTGGGTCTTCCTCTTTTTTGCTGACCTTTTGCTCTACCAAGCACGTCCTTCTCCAGGAACTGGCCCTTCCTTCCTCATAACCTGTACAAAGTACATGAGAAGAATGCTCGTGCTTCTAAGGAGCAGTCTGACTGTGCTTTTTCCAAGACAGGTGTCATTCTTTTGGCATTCCATGATCTATTAAATATTCTTAACCCCAAAGCCTAGGAAACTCTGTGAAGTAGTTCTACCCTGTGCTGTGGTGTCGTTATGCGTTGGAATCTGCCTGTTCAGTGACAGCATGTTTGGTTAATATGTAATTTGGCAACGTTCTTTGATGCAGCTTATAAAAGTTTATTGCTCTATATATTTGTGCTTCTTATCAAAGACTTATCTTCTGGAAGGTAGATCTGAGGGAGTGTGGTGAAGGAATTGGCCTTGTTCTTACTTACAGACTTCCTTCAGCTGGTGGGTCTAGTAGGAAGGTCTCAGTCTCCAATCTATGGGTTGGCACCAGGGACTTCACTCACTGTTTTCCTGACCTTTAGAGAATATCTTTCAAACTGTATGTCAGCGTGTTGTTGTGTAAATGTTTCGTGCGGCCTCTCTGTGAGCCCTGCCAGCGTCTCGTGCAGCGCTGCCCAATATCACTCTCTGCCTGGCCATGCTGCTTTCTCTTGTCTGCCGCTTGAAGTGTGGCTGGTGTGACTGAGGAACTCAATTTGTAACTTCAGTTTTAACCAATAATTAAGGTTTTCTTTAAATTTTATTTGTCACTGAGAATATACACAGCAAAACAGACACCAATTCAGTGGTACGATTCAGTGACATTGATGACCTTCTTTGCGTTGTGCAAGTGTTTCTCAGCCTCCTTTCTAAGTTGTTCCCCTCTCATTGGAGTCCTGGTGTGGTGCTGCAGGATAATGCACTGAACTGTAAGGTCGGCAGTTCAAACTCACCAGCCGCTCCTCAGATACCCCATACAGGGTCTCCGGGAGTTGGAACCGACTCCAAGACACTTAGCAACCACAGTCACCACCACCACCACCTCTCAGCTAACATAAACTCGCTGTCTCCTAAAGTTCTTATTTCATCTGTCCAGTTGCTGTTGTCAATAGGATCCCATATATGAGGGGCTTTCAAAAAGTTTGTGGAAAATTTTCATTATCTTACAATTCCATTTTTCCACAAACATTTTGCAGCCTCTGTGTAGGCAGTTCTTAAAAGAGTATAATACTGAAGGCAGACCTGTTTATTGCTTAAGCTAAACTGCTGTTTGGATTTAAGATGACTTCAGGGACTATTTTTGGTTTAAGATTTAGAGATTATTTTAGGGCAATAGTTTCAGTTCCTCCACCCTCTAGGACTCCAGAAAGTCTCGATTCTATAGAACTTGAAATTCTGTTCTGTATTTATCCCCTCTGATTGGAATCAGGGAGGCAATTAGCTACACATTCCAGATCTTCCTCCTATTTGTGACATTTCTCTGTTGCTAGGTGAATAGAGACCAAGTGTTGTGACTTGAATGGCTGCTTGCAACTTTTTAAGACCCCTGGCTCTGCACCACACTGATAGGTAGAATAGAAGCACTGAACATTTCATTAGGCCAGTTAACTGGATTGTCTCCTGGAAACATGACCCAGACCTTCAAACCGAGAAATCAAATCCTATGAGCTAATTTGGTTGTCCATAAGCAGCCTTAGCAACTACTTGTTTTTTTCTGTCAGTATTGTAAATGCTCTTACCACACAGCTTTTGCCAATTCAGCTTTACACGTGAAAACTGATAGACAGCACTTGTATCAGTCACAGTTTACTGATCTTTTCTTCTGTTGATGGGCACTTAGCTGGCTTCCACCTGTTGGAGAGTGTGAGCAGTGAAGTGTGAATAGCTGTCTGTGGCTGATGGTTGCCACGTGGGATCCTGCACGTGGTCTAGAGAGTAGAGACTAGGTTAGGAATCAGACCCTCTGAGGTCAGGCTCTGGTTTCCTGTATAAATGCATTTAACCTTTTGGTGCCCATGCTGCTCAGCACAGATCTGAGCAAGAGTTTAGTTTTTACAAGAACCGCTGTCAGTGTTTTTATTAGTATGTAAGATCTGGAGAGAAGTGTAATACAAGAAGACTTCAGAAAGTTTGTGTAAAAAACCCATGATCTTTTTTGAAGCCCCCTCATACTATTGCCTTGCTTCTAATTAAGAAACCTTGGTGGCACAGTTAAGTGCTTAGCTGCTAACTGAAAGGTTAGGAGTTCGAACCCACCTGTAGGAGAAAGATGTGGCAATCTGCTTCCATAAAGATTTGCAGTCTTGGAAACCCTATGGGGCAAGTCTGCTTTGTCCTATAAAATCACTAAGAGTTGGTGGTAATGAGTTTGTTTTTTTGTGGGTTTTTTTTTTTTTTTTTTGCCTGTGATTAAAAGAGGAGTTATTGTTGTTAAGTGCCATCAAGTTAGTTCTAACTTACAGCAACCCTGTGCAGGGTTTCTGAGGCTGCAGATCTTCACAGGAGTTCTCAGAAGGCTTCATCTTACTTCTGTGGAACGTCTACTAGATTAGAACTGCCTTCCTTGTTAGCAGCCCGGCTCGTAATTCATCACACTACCATAACGTCTTAGAAGAGGAGTTAGTCTGGTGTTTCCTACCATATGAAAGTATTAAATATAATTGCAGCTTCTTTAGTTTCCCTGTAACACAGTCTCTCTCTCTCATACACACACACACACACACACACACAAACGCAAGGAGCTGATGATACCACAAACATAAAATTACTAAAAGTCTAATGATTTGTCTTGTTAACGAGAGTTCTTGTTTTTCAGGGGGAAGAGGATACAGAAAAGACACCTCACTCTTGGTGGATTGAAACCTGTAGGAATCCTGATGATGTGTCCCTTCATCATAGACAAGAAGCCATTTTTGAAATGTTGGGAGGTATTTCAAGGGCTACTGGCTATTCCTGGGGAGGCAGGGAAGTGGGCTGGAGGAGGGTTTCACGGTTGGTCCTGTATGAATGATACACTAGCAGTTGTCATGGTGGCAGTCCCAACTCATGGCAGCCCATGTGTGTCAGAGTAGAACTGTGTTTTAATGGCTGAGTTTTTGGAAGTAGATTGCCACTCTTTTTTTCTGAGGTGCTTCTGGGTGAACTGAAACCTTCAACGTTTTCATGAACTTTTTGCTCCACCCAGGAACTCCACCTGCGTGTAGTGCTGCTTCTTCACTTGCATCTGTTTGTCACAATACAGCAATCCAAGGAGGGGCCTAACTCAGTGAACAGAATAACCATATTTGTGTTTGTTTATGAAACAAATGAGAACAGCCTGAGTAGCTGGCATTCTGATGTAGATAAATGCCAGCTGTAGGAAAAGCACTCAATCTCAAGGTGGGTTTGAACCACAAACTATCGGCGCTTCAGACCCACCAGCCACTCTTCAGAAACCCTGTTCAGGGTCGCAATGAGTCAGAACCAACTCGACAGCACTTTAACAACAACAGCGTAATTTATATATATACCTATACTAGGTACTAAAGAACTCTGGTAGCGTAGTGGTTACGAGTCGGGCTGTAAACTGCAGGGTCACAGTTCGAAACTACCAGCTGTTCCACGGGAGAAAGATGAGGCTTTCTGCTCCCGTAAAGATTTACAGCCTTGGAAACCCTGTACAGGGTCACTATGAGTCGGAACCGACTCTGGCACATAACCACAACAGCAACATACTAGGTACTGAACTAAACTGCATACTGCGCTAGACATGGTTGCTTGTAGCTACCTCCTCTATTCCTTACTTGCTGACTAGCTCACTAGCTGACATTTCACACGGACAGTAGTAAGAAACCTACTTTTTGTATATTAGTGAGGTCGTGGGCAGGCCAGGGAAGTGACTTCAGGACATCCTCTCCCTGAGTGTCTCCAAGCGGCCTCCGGAAGCTGGGTTGTGCTGTGTCATGCCCTCTGCTCCAGCCAGATGCTATGTGGAGTCGGCTGGCCTATGTGGCTTCTGGGCTCACTGCACTGAGCCAGGGGGTGCCTGTTCTGGGTTCCCAGCTCCATTGTGGCCTGAGGCCCAACAGCTCAAAATTGCTGTGAGGTGGGAAGGGAGGAAAGAAAGGTATGGAAGAGGGTGTTTAGGAAAATGAGTGTGAGTTTAGTGACATCCTAACATGAGCCCAGGTTGGCATGAAGCCTCTCCCTCAGTGGGGCCCAGAGGGCAGAGCATCCTGAAGGCAGGTTTGTGGGGTGGGAGTGGAGCCCTGGAGGCGGCTCGGGAACAGAAAGATGATGGAGTGGTTAAGCTGGAGTCCCTCCAATCACAGCCTGACTTTGTCACCTCCAGGCCTCGTCCTCCACAGAGCAATAATCCGTGACTGGACTCTTATGCAGCTGAGCACAGCAGTAAATCTTAGCTGCTGTTATTTCTGTGGCCATAGTTTATAAAAAAAAACAACAACCAGGCAAGTGAATAGTCTGAAGACAGAAAGGAAAAATACCCTCCATTTATGCATAACACTGATTTTACACAACAACCTGGTCTTTGGAACCTAAACATGTCAAGAAGTGAGGAGTAGGTGTAGTTATCATTGATAGAAGACATGCTCATGTTGTTAGAATATCCTGCTTCATGCTAGTTTAATGCTTTTTGCAAGGAACTTTTAGCTCTCTATGAAGGTCAGTTTACTCTCTTAAGGTACCAATGTGAAAAGAAGTGAATAACAATTTTTATATATGAAGAAAGTTTCACTAGAAAATGTGAAAGATTTGAAAATACAAACATGTATTTAATGTGAATCACTTTCTGAAAGCTTTCTTGTTGTTATTAAAGGAATAACATCACCAGCAGAAATTCCAGCAGGTACTATCCTGGGACTCACAGTTGGAGATCCTCGAATAAATTTGCCTCAAAAGAGGTTTAAAGCTCTGCCTGATCCCGAAAAATGCCAAGGTAAAGTTCTTGAGACAACCCTGATTTTCCTTGTTACAGTAACTTCTGTCTGCATTGAAAGATGACTACAGTGGAAAGAGTTTCATTTTTTAGCTATAAAACGCGTAGTTTGAGCCATAGGTTCTTTTGAGTTCTCTATATTTAGTATCTAGTAAAACCTGTCCCTCTGCAAACCAAGTTCTCTGAGAATGAATGGCATGTGAGGATTTAACTGTGAGGAAGGAACCTGCACCCACAGCTGGTCTTGTGCTCAGTGGAAGCCTCTGTCTGACCATACAGATGATCCAGGTTCGAATCCTGGCAAGGCCATCCCAGGTGCTGAGGTTGGGGCTATCTTGGTTTAGACTGAGATTGAGTGGCCTGTGAGAGTTGTTGGGTTGGACTGGCATAGCAAGGAGGGGGAGGGGAGAGGTTGGCTAAAATTTGAGTTGTGTCTGGGATCTTCAGTGACTGCAGTAATAATGTCTCTTTGTATTTTTATCATTTAAACACATTTAATGGAAGGATCATTAAAATTAGGCATGTCAGTTTTTGCAGGAAAAAAAATACAGGTGTTTGTAGTAACAACTTCAGAATTTTTTTTACCTCTCCACATGTAGCTAGGTAGTTTATTAAATGAGTAATAAATTACTCTCAGAACTCCACATGAAGGTGGATTGGATGAGAGAGGAGCTTGAAGATACTGTGGTAAGTTAGTTAATTATGGGGCCTAAGACTTTAATCATTGAGTGGCTTGCCTCTTATTTTTTTTTAAAATGGCATTATGCTTTGGTGCAACCCAAAAAGTTGCAGTGTCAGCTTTTCCTAGACTGTTTCTAACAAACTAATAAAACTTGGCTATTTTAATCACTTTAAAGCTACAGTTAAGCTCTACAGAGTTTTCCTTGCTGCCTGAAATCTTTTTTTGGAATGGGTATGTCTGTTATTAAATCCTTTCTAAAGCTTTTTTTAAAATCTTAATTTAAATCACTTCAAAGAAAAGTCTATTTTTAGAAGCACGATTTAATGTTTGCTATAGAAACTTGCCATTGTGTTAGTCACTGCTTATTCTTTTGTTAAAACCTGGCTATGTAGTTTCTCTGAAGGAGTGCTTAGCATGTGAGCTATGTAAAGCAGTGACTGATTTAAGGAGTTAGTATCATATAACAGTATTGTTAACAACACCCATAGCACTTTGAGGAGGGTGACTCAAAACTATGGTTAGAGATATTCTGATGGGCTTGGTTAATTAATAGAAATAAAAAATAAAAAAAGAAAGGCTTGCTTGATTTGGATGGCAAGCTCTTTATCTTCTTTTGTATACTGGAAATTCCACAAAATTGTGGACTAAAGAGAGGGCCCACGAAGAGCTTGAGGTTGAAGGGGGTGCATGTTCTCAGGGGCTTTGACTAAAGCTTCCTTGGCCATTTTTCCTTGAGCTTAATTTTTTGTATGAACACAGCATTTTTCCAGGCAAGTAACTGATTTTCTAGATGAGATTTAAAAATATTATTTCTCCATGCAGTCCTTTGTTATTTACTATCCTTAGTGTTTGCTTTGATAGTTTTTTTCATTTGAACTAGTTCTCGTGTGTCAGAGATGAATTTGCTTTAGAAGGTAGAGAACTTATTAAGCTTCCAGGTTCTTTACTGTTTGGTCATGTGACCGTGTCTTACTACCAACAACACTGAAAGACTCCTGTTTCATTTAGGATGGTGGTGAGAGATCTTTTAACAGCTTTTGTCAGCTTGGTTTACAGCGCTGGTCTGCAGCTGATTTACACAAGTGCCCAATTACTGGTTATTTCAGGGGCAGATTACCCAATATATAAGGTCTGGGAATTGATTGACAGGTAGCGATTAGAGTTAGACTTTAATTGGTGAAAACGTGTGAAATTGTTCAACAGTTCACTACAGATGAGTAAGTAAGCACAAGTGAGCCCATGCTTACCTTGCTTACTGAATACTCCCATCTCTGTCTGGGATTGAAAATTTGAAGAGGCTTTGATTTTGTAGGAAGGGGCTGTGGGATTGGGGTAGAAGCAGTCTTTGATCTGGTGAAAAAGTGTGAAATTGTTCACTACAGATTAGTAGGAAGTACACGTACCTGTCCTGCAGAGTTAATTAAAAGAGTGAATTTGAAAGCTGTAGCTGGTTTTATTTGATTCCCTTCACTTTCCTGTGCTTCTCTAAGTAAAATTTACAAATAACATTTTAATTTAAAATGTGTTGATTTCACATACATTTAAGAAAGGAATAAACAAGCTAGTTCATTCAACCTCTAAGTCACAATTATCGAGTCAAGCAGGTAATTAGCAGGCTAGGTCTGGCTATGAAAGACAAAACACTATATGAATTTTGGGGGCCTGACCTGAAGTTACATCCAGAATTGTCATTCCTACCACACACACTGATGGGCACATGCACACGGACTCAGGTGCTAATGCTCTTCTCTCACCTGCGGGTGTTAAACTACCCCAGTGATGCTGTGGGGGTAAGTAGTGGGCTGCTAGGGCAGGAAACCTAGGGGACTTCTTGGAAAGAGTTACTAGAAAAGCAAAGACTTTGTCTTGAGGACAGAAAGTTCTCTTTGGTTGTCTACTGGATCCCCAGTGCCTGGGATATATACAGCAGGCGCTCAGTAACTGTTCACTGAGTGGATTCTCAGTAGTGGGTGACAGCCCCATCGTCCCTCCCCCTGGAGAAGCTTGCTGAACAGCTGTGATGGGCCCTGCTGAGGCCCTCATGTGACCCAACCCTCAACATCTATATTTGACCTCTTCAGATCTTAAGATAGGGAGATAGCTGTCCTTTTGGAGGATGAAAGCATTAATCCCAAGACTTTAGCTATTTTACAGTCTGTTTACTATTAACAGACCACCATAACATTTATGTATTTTACTTCCTTGTACAGTCTAACTGGTTTATCCCACCTTGAAGGATGACCTTTCTTGGGGGTGGAAGAGAACACCAGCCCCTGGGAGGGACTGGAACCGGAGTATGGAAGAACCTCACATGCATGACATCCCATAATAAGTTTTTATCTGCCACTACCAGAGGCCTTTGTGGCAGAATCCATCTTGAAAAAATGCTGCGCATGCACCCAGTTAGAAATGGTTCTTATTGTTGTTAAGTGCCATCTAATTGATTCTGACTCATAGTGACCCTGTATAGGGTTTCCAAGGAGCAGCTGGTAGGCTTGAATCACTGATCTTGTGGTTTGCAGTCCAGTGCTTAACCTACAGTGCCATGGCTCTTCCTAATTGGGCTACTTTCCAGAAAACTCCACCTATCCCTATGAATAAAGCCAAAACCTTTTTAACCCCAATAAAGCCTTTGTTGAGGGAGAGGAGGGTTAAGTATCCATTAAGCCCTGCTAGCCTCTTATGACTCTGCCTCTCCTGATTATTCTCCATCAGTAGAAGGCAAGAACCCTTTCTTATAGGACTGAGGTGTGATTAGCTCTCCAGGTAACACTGGTAATCACAAGGCTCCTTGGTTGAAAGATGAGGCTGTCTGCTCCCATAAAGATTTACAGTCTTGGAAGCCCTGTATCATTGGGAAGCTACTTGTTAGCAGTGGATTTAGTTTGGGTGGGTAGGTACTCTTTCTTTTTGAAAATTTGTCATATTTTTCAGAATATTTGAAGATGAGTTAGCCTTTTCCTGTGTCTTTAAAGCCTGGGAGTTAACTGTATCTTTTGTCCGCAGCCCAGCATGAAGGAAATCCAAATTCAGTTACTGAAATCTATAGCAAGGAAAGAGAAGCCCTAGTGTGGCACTGTAGGGTAATGCCCTGGACCACAAGGTTGATGTGAACCTTAAAGTGACGGTTCAAACCCACCAGCGGCTCCTCGGAAATCCTACACAAGGATCTCTATAATCAGAACCCACTTGGCAACACTTAACAGCAACAACAAGAAGGAAAGAACTCTGGCTAGTTGACGTGGAGCTTGTTTGCTCCTAGACAGGCTGTGTGAACTGGCAGTACAAGCTCTGTTAACTTGAGATGCCCTTGACTTCTGTCTCTGTGAGGAAGAGCAGTGAGCACTGTTTCAGAAGCAGGGGCTGCTTTCAAGGAGCTTGCCTCTCAGAACTTCTCATCAATTTAATTTTCTTTCATTTTGTTCTCCCCTCCCCTAAAATCGAGCCCACTTTGGTCCATGCTTTGTCACACTTCCCACTTAATTTCTTTTCCAGCCATCAGATCCACACAGGTATGTGACTTTGAGTGACCTTTCTGTGTTGGCATTTTAGAAACATTGCCAAAACTTACAAATTGGCTAAGTTTGTTTTTTTGTTGTTACTGTTCTGGGTTTTTTTTTTTTTTTTTCCCCTTCTTCAATCCAACAAAATGAAATTTGGCATTTAGGAAGTCTCTCCTGTTAATATATATGTTTATAACTGGGAAACATTTCTTCCCCTTCTTTTCCATCAGAGTACTCTCTGTAGTGTGTAGTGAAATATGGCTTAGTTAAAGAGATAAAACAATGTTTCACAGAAAATAAGCTCATTTTACAGGGGTGGAGCCATATGATTCACAGTAGGGCTTCCAACTGGTTCATTCTAGTCCAGCTGGCTCGTGAAGATTCCACCTCAGATATACTGAATCAGAGTCTACACTTTAACAAATCTGTAAGAATTCTGAAAGAGCCCAGATGATACAACGATCACCTGGGCTCTTTCAGAATTCTTACAGATCACCTGGGGAACTTGTTGAACTGTAGATTCTGTTTACAAATTATGAAACCAGCTGTAAGAGTTAAGTTAATTTCTTCTCAAATGTCTTCTAGAAAAGTTAACTAAATGTCTATAAAATACTTTTTTGTACAACTAAAAGGTCCACTGACAACTTTTCGAGTTTGATTTCATTGATGTAAAGGATGTGGTTTGAAGGCTGTTTCTTTTCCCTCTTAGATAATGAGAGAGTTAGACAGCTGCTGATGGAGGGTGTGCCTGTGGAGTGTACCCATAGCTTTATCTGGAACCAAGCTATCTGTCAGAGTGTCACAGAGAATAAAATCTCGGATCAGGTAACTAATGCTGTAGGGATTGTTGGTAAGGTCATGAATGACAGGTTGAAATTCTAGAAGCTGTGAAGAGTTATTTCATACTTTATAGAATCCCATAGACTTACATTTACTTTCAAACAATTTATTGATTTCTTACTTTTGATACACACTGATTTTTCTTTTCTGTTTGTAGTGTAGCCTTTTTCTAGAAAAAGTTAAACTTGTTCTTGAAATGTTAGTCTCTTCATAGTTTAAATAAGATACGAGGAGGCTTAAAAAAATTGTGGAAAAATTCCTTTTTCCATGAACTTTTGAAGTCCCCTTGTATTTTATACATATTTTTCTCTCATTTATTTTTCTTTCTTAAATGTTCTCCATCTGTATTTTCACATTTCTGAACACCAGCCTGGGGCCAGGTATTGCAACAGTTGATGGGGTAGATGGATTGGATTGAGTCAAAGGGTACTTTGTTGTTAGGTGTCGTCGTTAAGTTGACTCTGACCCATAGTGACCCTATACACAACAGAATGGAACACACCTGGTCCTGTGCCATCATTACAATTGCAGCTATGCTTGAGCCCATTGCTGCTGCCACTGTGCCAATCCATCTAGGGAGTGTCCTTTTTCACTGTCTCTCCACTTTACCAAGTTGATGTCCTCCTGGTACCAGATGTCTGAAGTATGAGAGACGAAGTCTAACCATCTTGGCTTCGGAAGAGCCCTCTGTCTGTACTTCCTCCAACACAGATTTGTTTGTTGTTTTTCTGGAGGTCCATGGTACCCTTGATATTCTCTTCAACAACATAACTCAAATGCATCAGTTCTTCTGCTGACTTCCTTATTCATAGTCCAACTTTCATTTGCATATGCTGTTGCTGTTAAGTGCCATAGAGTCAATTCCGACCCATAGTGACCCTATATAGGGTTTCCAAGGAGCAGCTGGTGAGCTTGAACCAGCTTGCAGTTCAAACGACTTTGCAGTCTGATGCATTAGCCCTCAGCTCCACACCGGGACTCCGTATGAGGTTATTGAAAATACCATGGCTTGGGTCAGGCGCACCTTAGTCCTAACACTGACATCTTTGCTCTTGAATACTTTAAAGAGGTCTTGTGTAGCAGATTTGTCAAATGCAACATGTCATTTGATTTCTTGACTGCTGCTTCCATGAGTGTTGATGGTGGATCCAAGCAAAATGAAGTCTTTGACCCCTCCAATCTTTTTTCTATTTATCGTGATAATATATTTATTGGTCCAGTTGTGAGGATTTTTGTTTTCTTTACATTGAGGTGCAACCCATACCGAAGGCTGTGGTCTTTGATCTTTATCAGTAAGTATTTTAAATCCTCTTTACTTTCAGCAAGAAAGGTTGTATCATCTGCATATCTCAGGTTGTTAATGAGTCTCCCTCTAATCTTGATGCCACATTCTTCATATAATCCAACTTCTTGGATTATCAGTTCAGCACACAGAGTGAATAAGTATGGTGAAAGAATATAAACCTGGCGCACACCTTTCCTGATTTTAAACCATTCTGTGTCCTCTTCTCTGTTCGAATGACTGCCTCTTGGTCTGCATACATGTTCCTCATGAGCACAACATTCTCCACAATGTTGTCCATAGCTCATCGTGATCCACATAGTCTAAAATCTTGATCTAGTCAAAGGTCTAGGGTACTACGGAAGCCTAAAAGAGAGGTTCTGAGCACAGGCTTGGGGAGGTTTCCAGATGTGGTGACTGACATTTGGGCTAACTTTGACAGACGGCTACCGGCAAGGCTGCAGTAGAGAAAGGATTACAGGAAGTGGGGACGGCATGCCCAAGGGCCTAGGTCATAGCAGGGTGAACTGCTCACAATCTCTAGTTGCATCAACATCTTGGAGTTGAGGGTGGAGCAGGGCATGAAATGGGAGATAAATGTTGTTAAGTGCCCTTGACTTGGTTCCAACTCACAGTAATTAGGGGTTAATTATAAAACACCTTGAACCTTTAAGGATTTGGGTTTTATCCTGAAGATCAGATTTTGTTTTGTTTTTTTAAACTTTTTATTGTGAAGTGATTGAAGGTTTACAGAGCAGATCATTAGTTTTCGTAGTCAACACCTTTGTTCCATTTCACTGATTACAATCCCCTCCATGCAACAACAGTTATCCCGCTTCTTCCCTGTGGTTCTTACTTCCATCCCACCCACCTTCGCAACCCTTTTTAACTTTGACCTGAGGTGAATGTTGCCCTCTTGATCTTGAATAGTTGACCATTCCGTGGTGAGCATACCTTACTAATATTGTTGGCCTCCCTCTATACTATCTACCACTTGACTGGAAATTGGGGCACAAGGGTGAGTTCTATTGTAGACCTGAGGGGTGGCTGGTGGCTGTAGTCTCAGGTTCCTGCAGTCTCTTTCTGACCTGAAAGCTGGTCTTTATCATTTTCATTTCCCTGTATGAGACCTCTAACACGATCCCTTCAGAACAGTTGGTAGTGGTAGTTGGGTACCATGTAGTAATTAAGGTCTCAGAGTTATAAAGACTGATGACCATGTATCCCGTGAATTCAGTGGGCTGACTCCAAGCATGAAGACCAGGTTTTAAGTAGAACCACAGCGTAATCAGACTTCATTCTGGAAGTGGTCTGGAGAGTGGGTTACACTGGGGATGGGGCAAGCAGGAGTGGAACTGGAGAGAAGACTAGTGATTGGATGACCCCAAGACCCTTGAGATAGTCCAGATCTAACATGATGGTGGTCTGCATTGTGGCATTGACAGGGGAACATGGGCTGAAGGGATGGGCTTAATAATATTTCTGGAAGGTAAACTTTGACAAGACTTGGTAATTGAATGGAAGATGGGAGGTAAAGGAGGCCTGTAGGCCAGCTCTTAGTAGTCCAGCTTTAGTGTAGGCTATCAGCAAGAGAACCAGGAGCATGTCTGCTTGTCTACTGCTGTATTCTCAGATTCTAGTAAAGTATCTGGCATTTAAGGAGTGCTCCCTAAATACTTGAGTGAATGAATAAGTTATGTGAATTTCGGCACCATTCAACTAGATTAGATGGGAAATACAGGAGGAGAAATGTGTTGAGAAGGATGATGAGTTCAATCTTGGATAAGTTATATCTGAGGGCCTGTTGGGGACTTCTCGGTCTGTGTCTGTCATGCTATGGTGGCTAGAGTGCTCTATGATGCTGGGAGCTATGTCACTAGTATTTCCAGTACAAGTAGAGTCACCCATGGTGGACAGGTGACAGCAGAGCTTCCAGACTTAAGATACAATAGGAAGAAAAGCCCGGTAAGATGAGTGAAAACCCTCCAGAGCATAACAGAATATTGTCCTATAATGTTCTGGATGGAAGATGAGCCCCCTAGGTTGGAAGGCACGTCAGATGCACACCGACTGCAACAATAGTCTAACATACCAATCACAGGACTAGGCAGCAGCTTCTGTTGTGTGTGGGGTTGCCATGAGTTGAAGCTAACTCACCAGCAACCATAACATGGGACTTTGCAGGAACACATGTCTGGGAGATAGGTTTCTATGCAGGGAGGAAATGTCTGATGAAGAGATACACATTTTGGAATCACCAACGTACAGACTGTAGTGGAAACAAACAAAGGTAAACAAAGAATGGAACTTGACCATGGGCTGAAGAGCATTCATGATAAAATAAAAGCAGTTAGATTTTTTAGCGGAGGCGGTCTCTAATATAAATTTCTATCTTTAAGCCTTCAGAAATAATGAAAAATCCTCAAAAACCTTTATTTTTCCAGTTGTCTAACTTGAGACTTGTTACTTTAGTCTTTCTCTCTTTTCCTTTTATGACAACAAATCTTAAAGTAAGCGTAAGGACAGAATGTCAATAATCAACTTGGTGTAAGAGATTGGTAGAACAAACGAATGCATGTCGTTTGATAACAGAATAATCTAGTGTGTACTAGCCTACATTTAGCAGCTCACTTCACACAAGCGGTTAGGGAGGAGGAGAAGCTTTGTCGCAGTAGGTCTACCTTGCACTTAAACTGGCTCCCATTGATTTGTTGAGAGTGCTTTCTTTGTTGTCTGTCACAGAGTGCTTAACTTTGAGATGCTGCTTTATAGGGAGACCTACAGCAATCTCCCAGAACACTAGGGTTGTTTGTCTTGAATGATTTTCTTCCACTTTAGGATTTAAACCGGATGAGAAGTGAATTGCTGGTGCCTGGGTCTCAGCTTGTTTTAGGTCCCCAGGAATCCAAGATACCTATACTTTTGATTCACCAGCCAGGGAGAGTAACTGGTGAAGACCGACGGGGATGGGGAAGTGGCTGGGATGTCCTTCTGCCAAAGGGCTGGGGCATGGCTTTCTGGATTCCATTTGTAAGTTCATTTATATTTTTATTCTGACTAATACTTAATAACGTTTAAAATGCTTTCTAATAAATGCTAAGTGCTGATAGATGCTTAGACCTGTGCACAACTTAGAAATTGAGTGGTTCTTTTCTAAGCTGTACCTCAGAGTTCTGGAAGTATCATACTTCATGATCTACTTCTTAGAACCAGTTTTTTTGTTTTTTCAATAAATTGTGCTGACTAGTGAAGGGGCTTCAAAAGTTAGTGGAAAAATTCCGTTATCTTTTAATTCCATTTGTCCATGATCTTTTTGAAGCCCGCCTTGAATAGTGAATTTTTTAGCGTTTTAAAATAACCTGATATTTGAATTGTAGAGGCAGCAAAATATTGATGTTTTTCACTTGAAATTTGTTTCCATTTAAAAGCAAAAGACTTAACTTATTCTTTACAGAATACTTTTTAAAAAATGCAACTCAGTTTATCTACCTTAACCACTTTATTAAAATTGAGTGGTCTTTTTTTCCCCTGGTTAGTTTAAATGTTATTTTGATGCTATAGATTATAAAAGGCATATAAGAATCTATTAGATTTATGTTGATAAATTTTAACAGTTGTTCCTAGTACAAGGGAAATTCATTTAATCATTTCAGTGGATATATTTTAAAATCTACTTAATTATGAAATGTTTCAAGCACACTAAAACTATAGGTACTGATAAAATAAACACTTGTATTTCCTTCACTCACCAACCAGCTTAAAAAAGAAAATATTTCAGATTTATTTTTAGTAGTCTATGTCATTGTTAAGGGCCATCGAGTTGGTTCTGATTCATGGTGACCCCCTGTATAGAGTTTCTGAGGCTTTAAATCTTTATGGGAACAGAAAGCCTCAACTTGCCCCACGGAGTGGCTGGTGGGCTGGAATCACTGACGTTTTGTTTCGAAGTCCATTGATTGTCTTACAGAGCCACCGTGTTCCAAATATCTGTGTAGCCCCTCAAATCGCATCTCTTTCCCCTCTCCTGCTAAAATCAGCACCAGTCTGATTTTGATGTTACCATGCATATTTTTAGAGCTTTATTAAGTATGTTTGCCTCAAAAAATGTAAAAACTGTGTTGGACATATTTTTTTGAACTTTATGTATTTACTGTGTAGAGTCATAGTGTGATGCTGTAGGATAAGCACTGGACTGGTAACCACAAGGTCAGCAGTTCAAACTTACTGGAAATTCTATATAGGACGCAAAGTCAAAATCTACTCGATGGCATTTAGTAACAATAAGAACAGTATTTCATTGTACGTGTACTTTTGCAACTTTCTGTATTCACAATGTTGAGATTTTTCCATGTTAATTGATGAAGCTCCATTTCATTCATTTTTTTTTATTGTATAGAAGTCCATGTGGGACTATCCCACAATGCATTTATCTGTTCTCTTTTTTATGAACATTTAGCTTGTTTCCTGTACAAAATAATTAAGCAATTATACTTTCAGTAGGTAAATTAACAATATCTTTTTGGTATTTCTTTTAGATCTATCGAGGTGCCAGAGTTGGAGGATTAAAAGAGGGTTTAGTACATTCTCAGTATAAAAGGTCACCTAACATCCCGGGTGACTTCCCAGACTGTCCTGCTGGGGTTCTCTTTGCTGAAGAGCAAGCTAAGAATCTTCTTGAAAAGTACAAAAGGTAATAAGTCACTGACCGACTTGCTAGGGAGAAGAGAGAAAGGGCCTGCTTGTGTTGGCCGCCATGTTTGGTGATGCCCCTGATAAGAGGATATCAAGGAAGGGATAGGCCAACACGTTAGATGGTTTATGTGGTGCTGCAGCTGCTGAGAACAGTGACAGGAGTGATGGCGGAGGGCAAGATAGAGCACAGGGTGAAGGCCAGGGACTGGGCAGTTGATGGAGGACTTGAATGAAGAGGCAGAGCCAGTGGTTTTACCCAATGACCTGTGCTTCAGGGAGCTGGGGTTTTGGAGAAGGAAGGGGAAGAAACTGATGGGGAGCATCAGTGAAGAGCAAGGACATCTGCCCACCCTGGGGCCTGTGGAACGTGAGAAAAAAACAACCTTCACTGGAGAGGGGCTGGGCTGCAAATGGAAGGACACAGAGCTCAGAATCATCTCCTTAGGCTAAGAAAAACAGATGCACGTTTGAAGTCATTTGATGTATTGTTACCAGATTGCTCTTTAGAATCTTTGTACTAATTTGGTTCACTTGTAGTTATGAGGGTGCTTGTTTTTCCTTACTCTCATCATTTAGGACATTACTAATCTTTTCGTATTTACCAAACTGATAGGTGAAGCAATGCTACTACAGGGTCCTGGCACAGGAGTTAACACACCCAACTACTAGCTGAAAGCTTAGCGGTGTGAACCTCTACTCACTTACCAACTTGGTCATTATATGTGACATTTTGCATTTAGGACAAAAGTGAAAAATCTTACCAACTTTTTTGCACATTAACAATGTAATGTAATGAACTCTGGGATGATTTCATGGAAAAATTGAATCAAAGATAATGAAAAATTTCCACGAACTTTTTGAAGCTCCCTTGTATATTGCAAATACTATTCGCTGTTTTTTTGGGGGGGTTTGCTTTGCAATTCTGGATTTTAATGTCTTTAAAAAAATTTTTTTTTTTACATGATTTTAGACTTTAGTATTCTGCTGAGAAGTCTTTTCTGTTTGCAAGATTGCAAACATATTCACAGATATGCCTTTAAAATGTAAGATGGTGGGCAGTGAAGCTGTACTACCTGTTTGAGCTTCACCAGGTAGCTGGGTGGTTAACCTTCTGGATTTCGGTTTAGAAAGAACCTAGTGAACAAACAAACCCCAAAATAAATCTGATGAATTCACTTGTGCATTGCAAACCGTTAAAAGTTATTCACTGCAGCTTGCTTTTAGAAGCAAAAGCTAAAACATTGACCCAAATTTCCTTCAGTAGAACGGCCTGATTCAATTAGGACGTAACCATGGTGGAATAACATATACAACTTTTCAAAAAGAATGTAAAACCCTTGTTTCATATGATTGCCAAGATATTTTGTTAAATGAAAAACAGGTTAATAAGAAATATTGTGTATAGCATGCTACCATTTGTATAGAAATGGGCAGTAGAGATTTGCACATATCCACATAGTACATCAAAGGTCTCTGATAGGACAGAGAAAGAGCTGATAATGACAGTCTCCGTAGAGGGTAACTGGAGTCTTGAGGTGAGGAGGGAGAGAATGGTCGCTGTAAACCGTTTCAAGCGGCCTTTAGCTTTTGAACCCTGTAAATGTACCAAAGTGTAATAGTACAACCCAAGGGGGCAACATGTACTTGTAGTCTTCCAGGAAGGACATGCCCTGAAGCTGAGCATTTCCACATGAAGCTATTTACTTGTCCAGATTTAAATTGTTCAACATTGGTTCTCGCCTTTTTTATTAGGCGTCCTCCTGCGAAACGGCCCAACTACGTTAAGCTTGGCACTCTCGCCCCTTTCTGCTGTCCCTGGGGGCAGTTGACTCGAGATTGGGAATCAAGAGAGCAGACTCAAGGAGAATCTTGTGTAGCTTCATCTCCAAACAGTGAGGTGGGCGACTCAGGGAATGGTGAGGGGCCTCGTGCTGCTGCACCTGACAAGACTCTGCAGTTCTCTGCAGAGGAACCCAGAGAGCCAGAAGACATGGACACAGAATGTCAAGGCCAGGCAGGGACTCAGCCAGTCAGAGACCAGGATGCTGCCCTTGGTGGTCTCTGTGTTGTCAGGTAAGTGAGCGGGATTTGTGGATACATTTCGGAGTGTTTCTGAACATGATGCCCAAGTCACCAGTGTTCCTTTCTGCAAAGCCCATGCGATTTGTGGGCTTCTGGAAAAGGAAGTCAGTTGCTCATTGTTTCAGAGAGGGCCCAGGCAAAGAGCTTAATACAGTTTGATGTGGGACATGATACATGGTCACTATGAGTCGGAACTGACTCGACAGCACTTCACAGCCACCCCCACCACCATCATCATCATCATCATCATCATATAAGAGTGTGAGCCACTTCAAGACTCCTGCAGGCCTACTTTGCTTATTATTAGTTTATTTAGACCCTTGGCTGATTGTCAAAAAAATGCCCTCGTCTGTCCTCATTTTAACCTTTTTATTTATGTTGTTGTTAAGTGCCATCAAGTCCGTTCTAATAGTGACCCTGTACAGGGTTTCTGAGGAGTGACTGGTGAGTTTGACCCACCGACCTTGCAGTTCAGCTGACTTTATGGTCTAGTATAAGTCTTCATAATTTAATACCTTTTCTCAGTGGAACTTTACATAGACTTGTCCCTTGGAGTTTCTCTGCTTATCAGAATGCCAACTCATTATCATGTTCATCCTACTAATCCCAAGGTCTCATTTTTCTCTGCCTTCAACTTCTTAAGCCTTTAGTCCATCAGTTTCAGAGTAGCAGACATTACTAAAATATATTAATGTGTGTGAGTTTTAATTTTTAGAAAACTATAGTTTTGAGATTTTCTTACAAAATGTAAGATAAAAGAAAAAATTTCACCCCCCACCCCCAGCAAACTATCATCACAACCTTGTCTTTAACTTCCTGCAGGGAAAGAAAATTACTGAAGCAGCTGTCATCCTGGTGTGGGCCCAGTTCTGGGGGCAGCTGGGTACCCCGGCGAGCTCCTGGCAGGGGCCAGCAAGACCTGACCCGAGAAACCTGTCTGTCCATCTTGAGCCGCTTCCCCAGGGCCCTGGTGTGGGTCAGCCTGTCCCTGCTCCACAAGGGCAGCCCAGAGCCGTACACCATGATCTGTGTCCCGACCAAGGAAGACCTCCTTCATCTCAGTCAGGATCGCTTCTACTGTGGGCCTCAGGAATCCAAACACAGCGACCCGTTCAAGAGCAAGCTCCTGAAACAGAAGAAGGAGAAGAGGCGGAGACGACAGACTGCTTCTCTCGAGGGCCAAGCAGGAGAAGAGCCTGCTGCTGGGCACGAAGCTCTAACACAGGGCCTATGGTCGGGTCCCCTCCCTACTGTGACTTCACACTGTTCCAGGCTCCTCCTGGGATTTGTCACTCAGGGGGACTTTTCCATGGCGCTTGGCTGTGGAGAAGCCCTGGGATTTGTTAGTTTGACAGGCTTGCTGGATATACTGTCAAGGCAGCCGGCAAGGGAGAGGGGCTTGGTGTTACTGAGGCCTCCCGCCTCTCTGCAGTATCGATTTGCGAGAATTGCTGTGGAGGTATGAGTGTCATCTTATATCCCAGCAGGGCATCTGCTAGGTAGAATAACTTTGATTGAGAAGATCCACCATTGCAGAGATTTGTTTCTAGTTCAGTATAACATGTGGAATTCCTTGGAAGAGAGAATAAAATATGATGTATTATGCAAGTAGATGAAATGTTTTTACATCTCATTGATTTCCATCTATGCACCTGTCTTCGCTGTAATACTTTTAGCTTATTTGGCGCATAGAGCCAAAAGCCTTTGTTTGCATCTTGAGTTTTCAGTCTGTGTAATTATTGCTGGAAATCATTGGGAGTTCTTTTTCTGTTTTATCCTCCTCTCTTATTAGGATCAAAGTGCTGTCAAATCTATTGAAAAACTGAGTGGTCATGTGACAAGCAACAGTAGCTTCTTGTTGTCGTTGTTGTTAAGTGCCAATGAGTTGGTTCTTACCCATGGTGACCTTGTATAGGGTTTCTGAGGAGTGTCTCATGAGCTTCAACCACCGACCTGCAATTCAAAATGACTTTGCAATCCAGCACATTAACCCACAGTGCCACACCCGACCTCCTAGGCTTATTGTTATGGGAGAGCAAAAGATGAAATATCTGAGCTCTGCTTGAAGTATGGACCCCGATATGAACTGTAATCAGCGTGTTGGATCCCGTATACCATAAAGAAGCAAATCATGGGAAATCTCATGCTGCTAGCTTTCAGGGAAGCTCAGTTTATGGTGACAGTGTTGAGTTGACATTAGAATGGGGGGCCTTTGACTTTGGGACCCCTTTTCTTTTTTTGTTGACCAACACATGATTCTAGAAGTTACTTCATTTTTCTGTTTTTTTGTTTGTTTGATTCTGCAAAGTATTTCCCAAATTCAAAGAAGAGCATTTCCCTAAGCATGTTCTATGAAATACATTACTTAAAAAAAAGGATTCCAAGATCAGGTTCATTTGAACAAGTCTGGCTTAAAAAGAAAGCTGCTTTATTAAAGGGCTCCTGGAATTTTACTTGTGGAAATGTGCATTCTGAATCTCTAGGAAGTATTTTCTAAGTGCAGTATTTTCTAAGTCTTTTTTTTGCAGTGAGTTCTTTTCAGTACCGTTGTTAGCAACACACTAATCTAGTGACATTAGACAGTATAATACTTGTCTCTGCAAGGTGCTGTGGCTAAAAGGACAAGCTGCTGTTGAACACTAATGCAGTTACGTTGGCCTCCTGAGATTCTGAGCAGGGTATAAAAGAAAGCTTTCATCTCTATCCCCGAGGACGAGTGGAGTTAGCATTGCTTTTTACTCCAAGTGCAGATGATCTGGGTGACTCAGTAACTTCTAGCTGCCATCTAGATCTCACTCACACCTCCAATCCCTTCTTTACTTGTAGTCAACTAACAGGGCTACAACAGACTGAAACCAGAATATACTTTGGGATTGAAAAAATAGAATGTACGTACAGTTTGACATCATTTTGCGTGAATACATTGTGTTTTTGCGGTAGCATTTGACAGTGAATGTCTGCACAGAAAATGAGTTGGGGAAAACTACAGCAATTGTTCCACTGGTCCAGATTCCTTGAGCCAGTGATGTTTCTGCTGCTTGTCCTCTCACCACGCCTTTGAATTGTGCCCAAGCCACACGAGCATCTGAACAGTGAATTCAGATGGCACTTGGACCATTTCTCATTTGCTGTCTGGGCTCTAAGTGACTTCATATGTGATGACAGGCGTCTGAGCTGCTGAGTGGTCACCTCCCTCATTCCATAAGGCACCTGGCCCTCGTTACAGGCCGTACGACACGTTCCTAGATACACCACTTCATTTGTACTAGCTCAGACAACTAGGTGCTGAGAGAACACATCACTGTTGCCCAAAACATGTGTCTCGGAGCACTAATCCCTGGAGTTGTTTCCTGGAAAAAATATTTCTTGGCTAAAGAAGTTTGAGAAAAATCTGTATATTGTGTATTCCTATTTTAGAATCGCAATGAATATTAGTGTAGTCAAGACTACAGATATTACGGGAAAGAAGTACTCTGGTCTCTGACAGACATCCACCTTTTTGGGGGTGGGGAATGGTTCCAGACAGCAGCAGTGGTAGAATTCTTCCCTTTCATGTAGGAGATTTGGTTTCAATTCCAGGCCAGTGCACTTCATGCACAGCCGTGGAGGCTTGCAAGATGCTGTGATGGTGAACGGTTTTCAGTGGAGCTTCCAGACTAAGACTAGGGAGAAATGCCTGGCAATTGGCAGAAAGTCAGCCAACAAAAACCCTGTGGAACATAATGGTCTGATCCGCAACCAGTCACGGGGATGTCACAGGACCAGACTATTTTGTTTTGCATGGCTCAGGGACAAATTTGACTGCAGTTGAAATCAGTCCTACCACCAGCTGTAACCACTGTGACTTTTCTGGTATACATCCTTCTGGACTTTATGATAATTGTGTGTGTGGTTTTTTTTCAGAAAAATAGTCCCAGTGGTGGTTTATATAAAACCTACATAGTACATAGGTGTACTACAGGACAAGCACCAGACCACAGGGCTGTTTGAATCACAAGATCAGCAGTTCAAACTGACCAGCTGCTCCTCGGAAACCCAGTTCAGGATTACTGTGATTCGGAACCTACTCGACACTTAACAACAACAACATATAAGATGCGTCACGTAAGTCCATGCTGTGAGATACTTATGGAGCTTGGTTAGTGTAAACCCTGGTGGGAATTGGTTAGTGTGAACCCTGGTGGGAATACTCCCTTTGTTGGCCCTTCATGTACTATGTGGAGCACTGCTGTCTCAGCTGCCACGTGCCTAGGCAGTGGTTCTTCCCAGCCAGTGGACCCTCCCCAGCCCTGTGAGGTGACCCCATTATGGTCTTAACTGATCCACGGTGCGGTCTCCAATCTGAAGAGCACAGAAGCTCGGGCCAGGACTGGCTGCTTAGCAGATAATAGCAAGTAACAGAAAGACTACAATTGTGGATTCTTTAGGGCAACTACCCCAGTCCTTGTAAGAACACAAAGACCCATATAGGTGATATCTTCTTTGGCGGCAGTAGGTTTCCATTCTGACTGTACAGCACCATGGTTGTCCAACCTTCACCCCAGAAACCAATCTGCAGGGTGGGGCCCAAGCATCAATATTTCTTCAGAGCTCCCCAGGGGATTCTGATGTAAATCTGGACAGAGAACCTGTGCAGTAGGAGGTCTGGCTCGTAGGACCCTCTGCACCTTGGGTGAGCTTCAGTGAGTAGCAAGGTGGTGGGAACCTTATTGTAGTGCCTTTAATAGGCTTTGTTGTTAAGTGCTATCGTGTCAGTTCTGACTTATACCTACCCAGTATAGAGTTTCCAAGGAGTGAGTAGTTGGTGAGTTTGAACCGCTGACCTTGCAGTTTAAACCGACCTTGTGGTCCATTGCTTGCTCTACAGTGCCACACCTAGCTTGCTTACCAGTATGAAATTAATCTGCAGCGTCAGTTCACAAGGATGTGTAGCATTGGTGGGAACTTGGCGCATAACGGCGATGGCTGGGTGGGCCAGAGTGGGACTTCCACCTGATGAAGAGGTCTGGTCAGCCTCGTCACTTGGGTAACCACTACTTATGAGCATAAAATGAACTCAACTCTTGGTGAGTAGACTTCCAGACAACAGGTCTCAACCTTGGCTGCACAGCTTTTTAAAATACTGGTGCCCATGGCCCACCCTGAAACATAGAATGAGTCCAGGTGTGGTCCCACCACTTGTCGGTCAGTTTGTTGTACTGGCCTGGCCTGTGTGTTGCTGTGATGCTGAAAGCTATGCTACCGGTATTTTAAATACCAGCAAGGTCACCCATGGTAGACAGGTTTCAGCAGAGTTTCCAGACTAAGACAAACTAGAAGGAAAGCGAGGCAGACTACTGAATGGCTAGCCACTGAAAACATTCTGGTATGGTGCTGGGAGGTGAGCCCCTCAGGTTGGAAGGCACTCAAAGTGGGCGAAGAGCTGCTGCCCCAAAGTACAGTTGACCTTAATGAAAGCACAAACCTTGCAATTCACAATAAAATTTGAAAAATACAAGTAGAATTTAAAAAAAAAAAGGCCTAAGAATATCAATTTAAATTGAGCTGGAGTCCTGATGTGGCACTGTAGGATAGAGCACTGGGTTGCAAGGTCAGTGTGAACCACAAGATCAGTGGTCCAAGCTCACTACCAATTTGGAAACCCTATACAGGGTCTCTATGAGTCGAAACAGACTCAATGGCACTTAACAATTATTGTTAAGTGCTGCTGAGTTGATTCCGACCCATAGAGTTTCCAAGGAGTAGCTGGTGAGCTTAAACTGCCGACAGACCTTGCAGTTCAAATGGCTTTACAGTCTGGTGCATTAACTCACAGTGCCACACCACGACTCCTTAACAACAATAAACAAGTTGAAAATCAGTTTCTAGACCAAGTATACAGTATAATGAACTACTTCATAGGTCTTTTCCAGCATAGCTATAGTCTTTGTAACTCCCACCAAACTACTTTTTCTGATGGGTCTGAGTAGACAAGCTGGGGAAAGATGCGGATGGATTATATTATTCAGTTGTTGCCAGAGTTAATCATGAAAACTTGAAACTCTACTGTAGATATAAAGTAAGACATCTCAGAAAAGGGAGGGGTAACTCACTGCCATCAAGAAGAGCCAGGAGTGGACCTTCATTTACTGATGAGGTACAACTCTAAATGAAGCTGTAGCAAACATCCCTTAATCATTGGAACGTGGAGTGTACGAAGTACTAATAGAGGAAAGGAGATGGGGATAAAGAGCCAGAAGTCATCCAAAATCACATGGAATGCATGGAGATTGATATTCTAGGAATTAGTGAGCTGAAATAGACTGGCACTGGTTCTTTTGAATCTCACAATCATATAGTTTACTGTGCCAGAATGACAAATTGAAAAGGAGTGGCATTAGGTTCATCATTAAAACGAGCATTTCAAGATCTATCTTGAACTACAGTGTGTTCTGTGATAGCATAATATCCATATGCCTACAAGGA